AAGAGACTGGCAGCCTTTCGCATGGTGTTGTCTTACTGAAGAAACAAACAGCACGGCCTCGGTTAAGCACTGCCTGCTAGTTTGCCTTGCAAATCACAGAGATCACTCTTAAACCACAATCTTTTGAATTCATGTGCATCCCTGTACACTGTCATAGTGACCGAAGAGCATTATATTGAGAAGATCTGTGGTATATCTGGAGTGAGATCAGCATTTGTGCTTTTGCATGTCATATTATATTTGCTACATAATATAATGAACATCAAATAGTACAAAATAAAAAAATACATGCACACAAAGAATATAACAAGTAAATGATTCAGGAAGTGCTGCAGTCTGTATCCTATTATCCTATACCTCTGTTTTACTGCAGATTACAGGTGCCACATTCTCAAAGATCTACATTTTACTCTGGCATTTACCACTAAGGCTTGTCTATTTGTTCGCAATAAAATAGTTTACAGTATGTCACCCAGCACTTTGTACACTCATTTTTACAATCTGTAAGATACTTACATCAGTGGCTTTTAGTATAAGAAGTCCTTGCAATTTATTTTCATCAACAATAATCAACATCTGTGAATCTAGGTTCATTTCATCTATCAAAACATAGCCTGAACCATCAATTTGCACTGGCGCTCCAAGATCCTGCAGAAGTGGAAATCAGAACAAATCCACAGATACGCTATACACCTGAAATTTTTTACTCCTAATAAGTAGCCATAATAGCACCTGGCTATAAAACTAGTATATCAGGCAGAATGTCCATACAGTGTTTCAGAAATCTTGAGAGTTTTTTCTAAAAGTTTATACACTTCTTTTTCTTTTGCATTTTAAAGATGTCTGCCATATTTTTGATGTATTGGCCAGTATAAATACAACTTGGCAGCTTTTCTTGCCTAAATGAAGAGTCCATTAATTTTCTATGCTTTGCATTGCTCCAGTGACACAAAGCATCCATAAATCCTGAGAAACCAGACAGTAAGGGTAGGTTTATTTGGGCAGTTTTGTTCTGCAAGACAGTCTTCTCTTTGTCTATTGCTACACCCTGACTCGTACTGAATTCACGGATCATTCTGTGGTAGCATCTCTCTAAGCCCTCCCTACGCACACTTCTCCTGTCCTTTCCATCTTCTGCCTATATAGTACTGACTGGCGGCAGGTGGGAAGCCTAGGCTTGTGACACAAGCATTTCAGACAGCAATATAAATTTTCAGTAAGATTCAGGGCTCAATCAAGCTAAACTTAGAACTCTTACTTCAGGAAATTCTGCCGTAGAAAGTCCCCCTTTCGCCCATCTGCAGCAGTTTTTCAGGCCTGGGAAAATAAACTACCGGGCAAGAATTGAGGTAAGAAGTGCCATCTTTCTCTCTTCCATCAAGGAGTAAAAGCAGCGCAGCATGTCACACTAAGTGAGCGAGGTCTCAGCACACTGCCTTTCTTTACTTGGAGAGCTCTGAAGCCTGTCTTGCTCCCCAGGTCACACAGCTCCTCCCAGGAACTGCACTGTGGTCTCCTTCAGAGATGAGACTCCCAGGACGCCACAGCCAAGCAAGTGGACTGTCCCAGAGCCACAGCTTCATTTCCTTTGCTTTAAATAGACGTGAGACTGTACTGCAAATGATAGATCAATCCTGTGATGTGGACTGATCTTTCTCCACAGAGCTCCAGAGACTTTCTTCTTATCCTTTTTTGAACAGTGGTTTTATTTCACTACCCTTCATACCGGTCACAATTCAGACTCAGAGTCTATAGCGAGGTCCCACCAGACCCAGAAGTTAAATCTCATTAGCAGAACAGGATGTGTTACCTAGCGATGCACGGTCAAGCACTATAAATGGTAAGGTTCAGCTCTGGGGTAACTACATGGCCAGGATTTGCAAGAATTACCACAGAGAAAAGGCTCACCAGTCCAAATCAGCTTGTTCAAAATGTCATTTTTGGTTTTTTCAGCCAAATCCCTCGGATATTCCTGAACTCAGGTCCTACAGGAAATTGTAATTGCTGTTTAATGCTGGTTTTCTCACTCCATGTATTTTAAGCAATGATTTTCTTATATTACATATCAGCTTGCTAGCGATTTCAATTTTCCGTAAAGCCGAATGGAAATTTACTGACATGAAGATGATCCATTTAAATTATATTTTCACTTTGTTTCACAGTTTACTTGACACATTTTTAAACTATTTCATGGTTTATCAAAATGGCTGAGAAATTGCAACTGGAGTTCCCAAAGAGAGCTCTGAACACACATTATCTCTGAAGATTAAAGCCCAGCAGATTTCTCAACTGTCTCTTTTAAAGAATACATTGGAATACTTAACAGTAATCCACTGGAACGGTGCAGACTAGTACAAGGAAGTCCATTGACTTCAGGTATTGATTCATATAAAATTTGGCTTATACCATATAAAAGTACAGTGGACGACTGGCTCCAAAGATAAGATATAACATTAAAAAACGGAATGTTCTTGTAAAATATATTGCTAAGATCTGACTCTGCTACCATTGACATCATCAGATTACTTTCTTTTGACTTTAGTAGGTGCAAAGGTAAGATCCTGGTTTATAATTAGATGCAGCAAGTCAAGAGTAAAGTGAAAGAATCCTTCAAATACCTGAATTGTTTGGCATTTGTTTTCTATAAACATCTTCCACTGCAGCTTCTTTTCAGAGCAGAAATCCCCATTTATTTGAAGCTCACAGGCACCTGAATTCAATCCTATGTCAAGATGATATTTTAACTCTTTTTGTACTGTGACGGACAGCTTGTTTTCCCTTGGAATTTCTTTCAGTTGAGGGAATTCATGTCTGAATTGAACTTCCAGTGTCATCTGTGGCTTGCACTCTGTTCTTACTTCAAGACGGGCAGCCTTGCCATCTGTTTCCAGGATGCAGAAAAGTCCTGCTTGGCAGCTCTCTTTCTGAATGTATCCTGTGAGCCGTGACTGAGCCGGAATACCGAGATCCTATCAAGATACAAAAAATCCTCTGGATTATATGTATACATTGAGAAGAGATGTTTTTCTTCTCCTCTTAGCACATGAGAAATGAGACTTTATGCTACAACAGCAAACACAAAGCCTGCAGTCTCAGCGCTGCCATTTTTCTCCCTCCCAACAATAAGGTGGCAATTCTGCCTGAATAAAGCTTGAGAGAAGATTTTAGGACTGGCCCACAGATTTTACAACTTATCTATAAGAAGTTTCACATTTACGAAAACCTTAATTTTCAGAACACACTAACCCACCCCCCGAAAACAATAGACTCAACAGATGTTCTTGCATCTGGTGGTCTGAGGAAATGCTGGGGTTTTTTTGGTAAAATATTAAAAATTCAAGCCTGTCTTGTGCAACATTCTAAATGAAATGTTACCTCCCATTTTTTTTCAAAATATTTCAGAAAATTCTGAAAATTCTATTATTTTTTGTAATTTGAGTGGTTTTCATTCTCTCTTCATGATGGATGACAATACGATACTCATTTTCCTGTTGTTTTTTATTTTTACATGGCTACCTTGTGGCTGAAGAAATTAAAATTGAGGAGTGAAAAGCAAAAAATAAATGCACATGAACATCTGGAAATAACCCTAAACTTGCAGAAGTCATTCTTTCTAATGTAGTAAAGTGAGGCTAGATGGGAAAAGAAAGCAAACTTCACAACTTCTACTTTGATAAAAAGAAAGAAAGTATGTTGACAAATGTTTCAAACTAAAACCTGCTGATCAGCCCTAGTACAGCAAGGGCAGTCTCAGTTTGCCAAGGCAACAAGCAGCAAGGACTTTAAAACCAATCTCAGTCTATACATAACATCTGTGAACCACAGGATCCATACCGTCTGCTGTAAGACAGAGATATGTCTGTAGACTGGCTTTCCAAAACCCAAACATTGTTATTTTAGCTAAATCCCCGTAAGGCCTTCATAGGATCCCAACTCTTTCTTTAAAAGCCTCAAAGAGCTACCTGCAGAAGCTGACACACTGTTTCTGTTTCCAGTGTCCATTCAGGTTTACTCTGAACATAGAGACCTCCTCTAGCCTTAATGTTGCATCTGCCAGCCTGCAGCAATAATATGCCTTCAGTGGTGGACTCCGTGGCTGCAGAGAATAGGACAGAGTTTTCAAAAGGCAGCCCAAGCTCCTCGAGCCAGGGAACCGAATGCCTGAGCATCCCTTGGAGTGTATATTCACGCTCGCAGGAAGTGTCTATCTGCACATCTGCTGTTTGGCCATCACACTGGAGGTTCATCAACAAGCCAACGTTGCAGATGTTCTGCCGGAATGAGCCCCCAAAGGCTACCGCACGAGGCAGTCCCACCTGCTGCAACAGAAAAGATTATACTATTTAAAGTACATAAGGTAAAGCAACGGCCTTTCTAATTTGTTCTGAACTAATGAGAAAGAATTTCTTCTTTCTGAACCCGTACACTTTTGGAAAGGACCATACGATACAGCTTGTTTCATAGAATAATCAGAAATGATCGTGCGAATAAACAGTATGGAAAAAACCCTACAAAAACCTTTATTAATAAAAACTGTAGAAGGAAAAGTTCATAACCCCAAAGGAAATCTCCAAAGTTCCAAACAGAAAGGATTCACTTTTCATTAGATTTTAAGATAAAAGTTTTATTTTTTCAGAAAACCTGGGATTAAGCAACTATTTCATGCCAACAGCAGCAACATCTGTCACTATGTTACTCCAAATTCACATTTTTAAATATCATACCTCTGCAAATGTTTTGACTTGTTGCTCTGGCAGAACCCCTTTAATAACCAAAACTGTCCTTCCCATTAATAAAAGCATCAGGAGAGAGTGCTCTATGACTCATAAAGATAGGAAATGCAAAGGCTACGAGATCACATAGAAAACCATCTACACCGTTACCTCTAGACTGACACACTTGTTTCTAACAGTAAGCATCCAGTCTGCAGCTGTTGCATTGCTTGCCAGGCTCACTTCTCCATCAGCTTTGAAACTGCAGTGCCCAAGGACAATCTCAAGCATGCCTTTATACTTGTCACTTCTCGTGGATGACACCTTCACTTGGTTCTCTTTGGCAACACCCAGAGACCGAAGCTGAGGCAAGGAATGCTTGAAGTCAATCTCCAAATGAGGCTGGACGTTGAAGGTAGTATAGAGTTGCAGGCAGGCAAACAAGTCATTTAGAGAAATACGTCCGAAGAAGCCAACAGTAGAGTTGCTGGTAAACACCGACCCATTCAGTGAAACTTTTGCTGGAGTCTATAAAATTACAGAAAAACTCTTGTCAAGCTTGTTCCCCTGTCAGGCCACACACCGTGAGTCTATAATAAAAGTAACAGCAACCCCCCCAACTTTTAAAACAATTATTAATACCAAAAAAAACCTGCTTTTGCTTTTATCATCATCACTTCTGTATTCACTCTACACAAATAGAGCTCTAGCATGTGAGAATGTTTTAAATTCACAACAGACTTCAACAGGAGTGACCAGTGTTATGTAGACTGGACCCACGTTACATGAGGGAACTGGAATCTATTTGTGTTTTTCGGCACTGGAGCGTACATGGGAATTGCAGTCACTGGCATTACTGCCTGTCTAAAGACAAACAGTAATCTTCTATAAAATCACTCAGAGAAGACTCAGAGAAGACATATTTTTAACAAATTCTTAAGAAAATGTCAGATTATAAGGCATATCTTTCTGGAACAGTTCCAGTGTCACAAGGGCTTTCATAAACAAATGATTAGTTAGAAAGAGCAGAAAACAGTAAGAAAAAGTAAACCATGCAAATCATACTGACAACATCGAAAAAAAAAAATCACCGCCAGCATCAAACTTACAGCAGGACAATATGGCTCAATGTCCAGTTCTGGTCAAACTTTTTTTTTGCCCAAGTAGTCTGCATTTTCAATTTGACTGACTTTCCAATCATTGCATTGTTAATGTATATCTTCAGGGAAGGCATACTAGAAAGTAATTGTCCTCTAGTTTGTGTATTTATGGAACAGACAAGATTCTCAGCTTGTGCCTCCTATGCTCCCATGCCCAGTTTATCTCAGGCTGGCTGCACAACCGCAGAACAAGACCATTTATACTGAGTTCAGTTCTAACTGGCAAAAGACGCAGTTTGGAGGCCTCAGCTAGTAACATTAATGAAACTCTGCCTTTGCTCTCATGCAACCTATTATCTCATGATGTCGTTAGTTTTATGCTAGGTGCAGGCTCTTTCACTGAGCTCTGAAGCAATCCAACTTGCTTGTAGTAGGACATGGGAATATCACCTTTAAAATTGCACCTGTTGGGCCTGTAAACACCTCTTAGCTCTGCTACATGTTCTGCGATTGGACTAAAGCTGTAAATCTGTATCACCCAAATACAAGTTTGGCTGAAAGTTCAAGCTCAGAATAAAAATCCTATTGCATGATGGCGAAACCGAGTGCTACCTTCCTCATCAATTTGTCTCGTTTTTGATGGACAAGCAATCTGATCCGGTTGAATCTGGGGATATTAACGGAGTGAAAACATCTGAAGATTTGTACACAACCTCCTGCAAATTCAAACCCCTTTCTACATTTCTGAAATCTTCCAGTACTTAGATTCCCTCAGTGGTAATTAAGATAGCATGCTGATGATAGCAAAGTTTAAGAATGAAGCTTGTACCTCAGAATGATGACTTGCAATGTCTCCACTGCAAAGGCCAGAAAGTTGTTTGTCAGTGGATGCTCCACTGCAAGTAACCTGTTGACATATCAACACAGCACATTCAGAACATCAAGAAAAGCAGAGAGGACTAAAATGCAAAGGAGTGATCTAAAAGCCTGCTTTCAAGAGAAAGAGCAGGAAAATGTTAAAATATAGTTTTAAGATTAAAGATTAGAGAGCAGTCTCAAAAAGATAAAGATTTTAGCGGACCTGAGGCTAAATCATGTCTCTAATCTTACATTATTATCTCAAAATACTATTGGGATAGACAAAGAGAGAAGAATATCTTCAAACAGTAGGAAATTGTTACTTGTTAGACAGAATTATTTTTGATACCCTGGCTTTCGATTTTGGCAGGAGAGAGTGGGATTTCCTATGTTTAACATGGAAAATACCACTGACACAAGTAGATGTTGAGCGTTTTAAGTGCCATCAGCTGTGCCCCGTGTTGCAGGCTGCAAAGTCCTTGGAGAGGGCTTTTGGCTGACAATAGCAGTCTATTACTATTCATTCTCCAGTTTACATTACTGCACCCACAAACAGCTAAGTGCTCCACCTGCAAACCCCACCTCAGCAAGGTGGAAAGGGACTGGACGTTATCACGCCTGGACAAGTGCCTTTTTGGATATGCGCACTCCAATTTCATGCCATACATGTTTTTAACTGCCACATTTTGCTTAGCAATAAAGACCAGGCTTTCAAGCAGTTTCTAGACTTTCTGTGCTGGTCTTGTTTGGGAAAAATCTCTCCCTTCTGATGTCCTAGCTTGCTCTCAACATGCTAATTTGAACAACTGAGTACGAAAAGCAGAAAGTGACATCAAACACACCATATAACAGGATTTCTGCTAACCTCTATGGCCTGTGGGATAATGTCTATCAGTGGTCTCACATCATGATGAAGTGAAAAGGAAACATCCATAGCACCAACAGTGGTTCTCTTCTCAGTTTCAATTTTGAACTGTTCATTCTCCACCATGGTTGTTATCCCTGCAGCAATCCTTCTGCTGAAATTCTGAGTACAAAAGAAACCAAATAAGAGAAAGACACAAGCAACAACAGCCCAGCCAGAGCTGACAAAGGCAGAATCTGTTTCACAGTGCTGGAACCTGACAGCCTGTGTCACAGCAGCAACACTGGTAAAGGGGAAGTAAAAATGCTTCAATGTGGCTTCATTTCAAAGACAGACTTTCCTGTCATGCTAGACCTTCTGAATGCTGTGTACCGACACTGCACCAGAAAAGAGGATCCATGACATTCCTGTGCTTTGAGACTTCTAAAGGGAAAGCCATGTTAAACATTCCTTGGCTATTTAGCAGACATCTAAAGGATGATATGGTAACTACCTAAACCAGGTACAAAATGCAACACAGTGCCTAGGCTCATGGACGCTTAGATCTGATAGCTACATACTTTAGGCCTACCTGTCCACTTCCCATTTATAGGGGAAAAATAAAATTGGACAAGACTACCATTCCTAAGTGGCAAGGCACTTCACTTAAACCTGAACTGAATGTAGCATCTTAATTTAGTCTAGATTTAGTTCCAAGACTTCAGATGACTGGTACATGGTATGACTAGAAGCCATGAAGACACCCTTCCTTCACGCAGCAATTAAGTACATCTCAAAAATGCAGCCACCTTCGGAGTGAAGTGCATCCTGTGGTTAACACCACATAGGAATAACCTGAAGTTATTAGAAATGGTTCTGCCAGAAATTAAATAATCACAAGCAGAACTTTTCTTACCTGGTAATAGCCAGTAGCTTCCACAATAAAGGGGATCCCAAGTTTCTTTATCTGTGAGATGTTGTGCTTTAAACTGACAGATAGCTGGGAGTTAGGAGGCTCTGCAGACAGTCTCTGACCTTCAAACACAGCAGTAATCCTTTCACTGCCACTCTGTAGGGCTACAGTAACGGTGTGATTTGTTGTGACATGGTTGCGCACAGCGGTGAGAACGCCATCCAGGGGCAATCCTAACGACAGGGAAGGAAGCAAAATCAACACAACGATACTGCTGGGCTGTCATTGCCTGTAAAATACATAAAAGCTAAATTACAGATTAAAGAGAGTGCTTCTATCACTTGTCATAACAGGAGACAGACCTTTTTTAAAAAGTGCTATCATTCAGAGAGTTGCACTTTCTGCTGTGTACTTACAGTAAGAGAGAACATTAACTACCATATGAAATATATTAAAAGTGACTGTTAAATTAAAATGTGATATGCACCTTGGGAGTCAAAGATTATTCCTTTCTCAGTAAAGGACATCCGGCAATGCGCATTGTGTGCAACTCCAGTCACTGGCTGTTAGAAAGTTTCAAGACAGATTTCTTAGGTCCAAAGGGACAAAGGCAATTTCCCCTTCTAAAATTGCTGATAACTTCAGTTCATAAAAGCCCTTGGTTTTGCTTATAAAACAACACTTGAAATATTTTACTCTTCAGAATGATTTATTCAATGATATTCAAAAAATGTTTCAATTACGGCCTGAACCAAAAAAGGTATAAAAATATGCTTAGAGGAATTGATCAACATACCCTAACTGTTCAATATGCAGAGATAGAGATGTAAAAGAGAAAAATAATTTATTTTGAAGTAGTTCAAATAGTTTAAAAATAATCCTGTATCCTTCCTATTGTATTTTCTTAATATTAAAATGAATGCTGCTGAAGTTAAGACCAGATCGCATTTTGTTCTGGTGTGAGCAAACGGAACCTCCAAAGCTCTGCACCTACCTAGACAAAGTCATCCCTACATCTTGTTATACCATATGTTGATCAAGTCAGAACTTCCTACATACCTGCATTTTTTAAAGAGCTGACGTTATGTGTGAAAGTCCCACTGACCCTGCTGTATTCATGACTCATGATGCTGGAAAAATCTACAGAAAGGGCTTTCTCATCTACCAGGAAACTAGCTAAGCCCTTTTTGATCTCTTTACTCAGCTCCAGGTGTCCTTTCAATTTTGCCTCCATTGGCATTGCCTGACTGCCGTTCTGAAACACAGCAAAAGTGATATTGTGTACGCTGGAATTCCCAAACACGTTTCTGTTCCTGAGATGGAGTCCATACAGTGCTTTGTTGATCATCACATTGATATTACCTGCAATGGGCAGAAATGATTACTGCAGAGAACTCTTTGGGACAGAAATGACCAGGATTTGATGAGTAACATACAAAGTAATCTTTAATTTAATACTAGGAGGAAGTGAATGCATTTCCGCTGATTATAATAGATAACTTAGCCTAATTCAGATAGCAAATTGGTTCATTGTTAAGAGAGCAGTTTCTCTACTAATAGAGGTGCCTGTGTTGAGAACAAATTATGTAATAGCATTTCTGGCAGTTGTTTCTTTTTATTCACAAAGCTGCTTGTGCCTTTAGGCCAGGACTACGGATAGCACACTGCCTCCTGAAGGTAAATTTACAGACGGATTATGACCTTCCACAAAAGCTCCTTGTATCACTCCCGGATAAACAGTCCCTCTGGAGCTCTGCAGTGACATGCTCTACTCCATGGAGCCATTCGCAAGGGCGAGGTCCCTGAGTCTGCCGCTCCCCCGCATTTCAGAAGGCTCGCACAGGAAACCACCACCCACCATTTCCCTCCATCAATGAAACCAACAAATAATAGAGGCACCTGCAATGAAAACGATAGTTTACTCAAATGTGCCTTCAACCCACTGATCCGTGGTTCATTTTGTATACTAAATGCATCCCTTTGCATTCAATGCACTCAATGTAAGGAATACACTATGACTAAGAAGTCTCCTTGGGTAGCTGCTGAATTAGCAGCAAAACACCAAGTAAAAAAGTACCATCGTGAATGTTGCTTTTGCGCTTCAGTAATCCATTCAGTGAAAGAAGCTGAGGTATAGCCTTTAAGCCAGTAAATGTGTGTCGGACTTTTCCATTTAGGGACAAGACAAGACCAACTTTCTGCTCCCTGGCCCCCATGAAATCCACATGAAGCCTATTTTCATTAAGCTTTATCTCAGAAGATAACAAAAGTCTAAAAAGAAAGACAGAAAAAATGCCAGTAAAGTCATCTTAGAAGTGCTTAATTCATATCTTTGTCAATCTGCAGCAAGACCATCCCATTTATTTGGTACTGTAATGTTCAGTTCATATTCTGTACTTAGACAAAAGAAAAGTAGATTATACAAGAGAACTGTACAGTTTGTTGAAGAGGAGACTTTTGCCTAAACGGGCAAAAGTCAGTGATCCTAAGAAGCCTAGCACACGCACCTGGGAGAACCCAGAGAAGAAAAAAGGTCGGACTATCTGTGCCTCACTGCTTCTGCTCATATTGCACCTAGAGCAGTTTCTAGGATTTCTGCAGCTACTTGAGAGCTACTGTTTGGAAGGGTCTGCTGCACATGTTCTTGTTACCATGTGTTGTTAGCCAGGAACTGGATGTCGGAAGAGATGGACACACTCCAATGATTTCTATATACAAAATGGCTAAGGGAAGGGACTGCTGGAGACTGTCCAGTTCAACCTCCCTGCTCAAAGCGGGGCCAGCTAGAGCAGACCGTGTCTGGTCAGGCTTTGAGTATCTCCAAGGATGGAAACTCCACAGCCCTTCTGGGCAACCTCTTCCAGTGTCTGACTGCCTTTACACTAAAAAAGTTTTCCATTATGTTTAAACAGAATTTCTTGTATTTCAATTTGTGACCATGTGTCTCCTTTGCTGAAGACATTTGTATTAGCAAAGTATAAGGAACAAAGTCTATAAAGTGGCAAGTTCCATTTATATGACAAGGGCTTAAACTTAAAAAGGTTATAAAACAGTGCAGATTTAGTATATTAAAAAAAATTAAAAGGGAATATTTTGAAGATAAAATAAGGGATTTCTAAACTAAGTACAGCAGATCCAATTTTCCTCTCACATCTATTAACCAAGATTCTCATTCCGATTTCTCTACCTTGATGGAAACATTTTGCCCATTAACTGGAACTGCATTGACTCTGGTTCTGTCAAGACTGCCTGATGGAGGAAAGCGCTCACTCCAACAAGTCTGGCGTTCTTTCTCTTTTCATTGTTCGTATCGACCTCTAGCACCAGCATGTCCCTTCCATTGAAATGAAAATAAAGAGATCCATTGAGGTTGCTCTCGCCGTAACTCTTCAGGGCTGCTTGGACCTACACACAGAGAAAATAAGAACAGGACACTAAGAATCTCAAATCATAATGCAGAATAATGAAACATCAGTTTGAGGAATAAGATTGCAGACAATGATGAGGTTTGGGAGAGTCTCATGAATCCATTAAGAAACTTAACTTAGGAGGACTAAAAATAAAACTGAATAATTTTTCTTTGCTTCAAATAGAATCTCTTTTCCTGGCTGCAGGTGAATTGTTCATTTACTATGCTCCTAAAAAGAACTAACTGAATAAATATTCTCAAAATCTCAGTTTCCCCAGGCAAACGCTATGAGAGTTTCACAACTGCACACTGACTTCCAATGAAAGAAGCCAGCAGAATGTTTGAAAAACTCCTGAGAAACAATGTTTAAATATCTTCAGTGTCATTCACTTCATAGAAACCTATTTGCCAGGTGCTTTTTTTTCCCTTCCTTGGGTAGGGGAATGCATTTGTGTTTAAGTGGAAAAATTAAAAAAATAGATTTCTTAATCCATTTTATTCTCTTCAGCACCCATTGCTGGGACACGGGATATACCACAAACTAGAGGGGCAGTCTGAAGTTAAAATCTTGACAATACATCACTGCCAGGGATAAATGAAATTATAGCCATTAAAGACTGAAAAGACCTGCTAAATCACATAATCCAACCACTGTCAAAATGGGATAAAGCTAATCCTAGAGAAAGAACCTTTTGAACTGGTAATAAAGGCTACGGATGATATATGATTTTGCCTAGAAGTCTGTCACCGTGATAGAGCTTTCAATAACTACGCTAGTGAATTATTTTCCATGAGAGAACCCTTTTCCTGCATTATAGGGAGCTGGGAGGCATGCTCTGCAACAGGATGTTCCCATATTTACTGCTTCAAGACTACACATTTCTCCAGAACAAGACAAAAGGGAAATGTGACAACAGAAGAACACTGTGTCCTTTTAAATTATCACATGAAGGAGGCACTTTGTTTTGATTATCCAGAGCAGATGAAAATTAATGAATGCATTTAACTTTCCTTTGAATTTTTAAAACTTTACCATTATTCTTCAGTGTAAAAGGAGAAGAGAAATACAATCAAAATGCAACCCCGCTTTTCCCGAATAACCAAAAGTTTCCCCAAACCCAAGTGCCATGTAGCTCATCATGCCAGCAGAATCAAGGAATGCAAATTTCTGAAAAGTAGAGCAGGCACAGAAGCAATCCAGCTACCATGTTGTTCATCATCCTTCTTTTCCTAGACCCAAATTACGGCTTTCCTAGCTTCTGTTTATAAATAGGTTGACTGAAAACAACCTCCCTGAAGACCTGAAATACAGTTTCAACTCATATGCAGCTCAATTGTAACTGCATTCTGGTCAAGAGCCAAGACCTTAAAACCTTACTCTAATGCACTGCTACTAGGGTCAGTCCATCCCAGCGGCTTCAAAAACCTCTGCCACAGCCAGCCTCTTTGTACCACTCCAATTAGGAGCATCGCAGTGCTGTTTCTTTATCAGCTAGCCATCACTCCCAAAGTAGAAGGATGTTTTTAGAGGTTAAATGATGTGCTCATGCTCCAAATCTCAAAAGGCTCAAGCCAAATGGTTAACCTTATGGCTGCTGAACTGAAGAACCAGCTTGAAACAAATTCAGCGTATTTGGTTAACTGATTTAGAGAACCTGGACTGATTGTTATTGTACATTCAAGAGACGGCTCCAGTTAATTATTCAGAATAACTGAATAGTAACCGGATATTAAGTTACTTAAGATATGTCTATGTTTTGCTCAACTAATAAAGGTATAATTATACTGGATGTGTAGGTAGAAAGAGAGTATATCCCAGTTAGTTTTAAGCTAATAGCTTTTACTTGAAGGATTGGGGGAAATTTTTGACTGATAAGAATACATAAACATGTAAGAAAATCCAAAATACGTTTTTTATCCATTCAGCTGAACTCTAAAATGTTGGCACAAGAAAAAAGTTACTCTGCTAAAATGATGAACTATGTTGAATTTCAAGTATAACTTCACCTGAGTTTCAGAGTGATTTTTTTCCCAAAGTTTTCTGAATTTCAGTCAAAATATGTGCCAGTTGTGCCAATTGCATACAGTCACGTACCCAGAACAAATTATTCATAAAAAATTAACTGCCACCCCAACAATTCTGGCCTCTCCACTACCCTGACTGGATTTCCTACAAGTTGAACAACTTCACAGTATATACATACATTTATTCCCCTGCTACACCTTGAAAGTGGTTCCACAGTAATTTACAGTACAGTTAAACTGCTTTCAGGGGGAAATGTATGCCTAATGCACACAGCAAGCAAGAGACCTAACATGGATCTTCAGGAATAGAGTTTTTATACTGGGTCTCCAAACAAGACAGAATTTCACTCCTACTGGACAGGAGTCTTCAACACCGAGTGAATAAGCTGCAAAAGCTACAAGTTCATGCAATGAGACTGTAATAACCAGGGAACTGACCTGTGAGGAATCATTCTCGTTGATGATGGCTTTTACATTCACACTGTAGTCAAAGTCCTCCAGTTTGGTTTGCCTAGAAAACAGCTCCCCGCTTAGGGCCACTGCTTGTGGAAACTGGAGCTATTTGACAAAGCAAAATGTAAACATAATCGCTGCCTTCACATCAATTGCTTCGTGTTATTTGCTGTCTGAACTTTCAGCGTAAAGTGAGGAATGTTTAAAAGTAAATGTGTGTATAAAATTTTACCCAAAGATGCTACTGAAAAAAATATGAAAACAAATGATCAGTGTTTTTCTTACAAGAAGTGTTTTTCTTACAAGACAGTACTGATACTGATTGTTATTTGCTCTTGCATATCACTGCAGACCCTTTGCTGGGGTTAGGATTTTATTGAATAGGAAGCTCGCAAGCGGAGAACAATTATAATTCTAAATGAAAAGCAGAAAAGCAGCCAACCAAGACAAGAAGATTAAAACAACATGAATAAAGACATAGAGAAACTGTTTTCTGGAAAGGAAGAAGGCAGTTCTTTTTCTGTACATCCTAAAATAAAGATCAGTTTCAACATCAATACCTGGAATGAATGAGTCACATCCACATGTAAAAGGTGTCTGAAATTTGCCTCACTAGATTTGTCCTGGTATCTTGCTAGAAAGCTGAGAACATCTTCCTTATTGACTTTCAAGGTAGTTTCAACTTCACACTTCACCTATGTGTTAAGAATGTGAGTAAGTGAACTACATTGAGTATTAACCTTCTGTATTATGACATATGAGGGAGGCCATTGCAGTTGAGAATTATTACGTTGTGACTCATAATGGAAAATAAGCAAAGCAGAGGAAAGAAAATGACTGCATTTAGTAAGAAAGATGAATAGATAGGTAAGAATTAGATCTCTGAATCATTCCCAATGCTTGTTACTTATAATAATATTAATGTTTAACATCAATTCTAAGAGAACTTTGCTTGCAGCATTTACTTGGTGAGGAACTAAAGACCTATAAGAAAGCTAGGCCCAAAAAGACAATAGGCTGCAAACTTAAACCAGTAGTTAATGAATCTCTCATTCTAAACGAAATTTAAGAGGAAATTTACTCACAGTTTCATGACTTCGAGTTAAAGTGCACATTTCAACATTTTGGGGGAACCACGTGTAGTTATAAGGATGAGCTAAACCAGCACAAATCTAAAAGAGTGTAAAAAAAGAGAGAGAAAATGAGAAACATAAGATATGTAGAGCAAGTTATTCATTTTCGGTTTTTTTGGTATGTCAGGTTAAAGGAAATTTGTGCATCAGGAATCACTCACATAGGGGTTTTCAGGTTGGTAGCCAAGTGTAACAGTTTGAACTGATTCTTCCAGTCCATTTATCAAAACTTTTGTCTCCAAAAAGTAGTGCTTTTGCTTTTTGTCAACGGTAAACGTCTCCTGGAGCAAGAAAATCTGTGGAATGAGCAGTTTAAATGGATGCCTGAAACAAAATAAGCAATGAACAAAACGTAAAAGATCTTCATAGGCAACCACGAAGAGAAAATACGCATAGTCCAGTTGAAACTCCAAAACTTTCAATTGCAAATGCCATTAGTGTGTCAGGTACCGATGTAAAGCATGTCAGATCAGGACCCGTGAGAACTTAATGGAGTGTAATTACAGCTTCATACAAACTACATACATTTACCAGAATTTCTGACAAAGAATTTCCACTCTGGATTCAGAAAAGACTGGGCAGACCACGGGAGAGAGTGACCTTCTAAAATTCTGATGGGCATACCCAATACACACACTTTACATACTTTCATGACCAAGACTTCATTTCAAATAGGGACAGAATGTCCAAACACTTAGGGTGGCTATGAAAACCTCAACTAGTAAGTACATTTTCTGTTCTCTGCAGAAACAATATCTGCCAGATGACAATCTACGCAACACGTGTTCAACTAGTAAGCAGTAAAGTGCTCAGAGAGCTATGCAAGTGCAACGTTTTATGGACTTTATTAAATACTTCTCTGCATTTACTTAGACGCCTAGGAAAAATACAATAACATTTATAATCAGACACTGGACTACATTTATACATGTTAGGATATCTGACACAGCTCTTCATCTTTCATTCACATTCTTCTCTCATTATTGAAAAGGCATCTCTCATGGTGTTTTTAGCGATCTCCAAGATGCAGAGCAGCTCCTAAGGGAGCCTTTGCACTCCTGTTGACCTTACTACGTCTTAAGAATGCTGAGATCTCCCCAGTGATGATCTGGATTTCTCAGGTCTGAATATGCATTTTTAATGAGGCTTTCAAAGTGTATTCTGATAATCGGTCCTGAAGGGAGAAATTCTGGAGACAGCCAATATCTAGAAGCAGTGTACTCGTTCTCACCAGGAAATCGAAACAAGATCCAAAATCTAAACAAGAGCATTTGTTATGTGTTTTAAGAGGGAAACATTTGGCTTTAGAACAGCTCTATCAGTGCTAAGGAGTAGAAGAAAAGCATCTGGACAGCACAGGAGATCAGATCTGGATTTTGGAACTTCTCATCACTTGGAAGTTTGGCCATGCCATAAATCCTGCTGCTTTCATGAAAGGAGGCTATACTTCCAATAGGGTTCCTAACAAACACATGGCCACAGCATGCACTGCCTATTGCTCTCGACAACTTTCTTCACTATTATTTCAATAACAAGGGCAAAGGCTGAATGGACACAGTTAACCAACCCATGGAGTCAGTGTGCTGGAGTAAGAGACAAGAGATTAGGGAGCACAAGTTTTGTGCATGTGGTACTTCAACCTTACAAGGCCCAGAACTTCTTCCCAAGAGCATCAAAATGCATACTAAATTTAGGCCAAAACATTCTTCATAGATAGAAAAAAGGCTACTGAACCTGAAATGGAGAGTTCCACGTTTTTGATAGAGCATCTTCTCCTTCTTCAGCTCTTCCACCTGACCTTCAAACTGCAGCACGACAGGCAGATTTTTATGGTCTGTCCATACAGCCTTCACAGAAGCGTTTGTCTTTTTAGGCTGCAGTCCAAATCATGCAACCAGGAGAAGAAAGGACACTTGCATCATATTTATTGGATTCATATTCAGGAATACCAGTATAAAAACCACACAGTTCAGTACATTACAGTGAGGCTGTCATTTCACACAACAACCCCCTTCCTGTGAAGTTCAAAATCTTGATCTCGATATACATAGGATTAAAAGTGACATTAGCAGTAAACCACTGACTTCAGCAAAAGATGATCAGATAAATGCCCTATAATGTATAACTTGAGTGTAAACTAGTTGCAGTATGAACAAGTTGTAGCGCTGGTACCAGTACATTTGAACATAAAAACTGATTGAATTTTCAAAGCACAGAATGCTTTGACTAGAACCACCACTGTTTTTTGTTTTATTTAATACATACTGCAAGGAACTGACCAAAGTACTGATCAAAGCATCGCTCTGGATGACAAACTGTTGATTATCTAGTCCTGTGCTGCAGACACCAAGCAAAGTAGGAATCGTTTTAAGCATTATGATAGATAAGGAGGAATGCAAGGGCTTAAATAACATATAAAACCAGCCTGCTACTATGCAGACTTGTAGGCAAAACATGTTGATTCTCCAAGATACTTAGCAAAATCCTCCAGGCCTGTCATATGTCTGCGTCAAAATATAAGTAACCACATCTACAGCGCTCTTTCAAGACACGTATTACCTCTTTGCCCTCTCCTTCCTATGTTTCTGTCTGTAGTTGGCCTCCCAAACAGGTGAGAAGGACAACAACACTGCACAAGTTTGTTTGTTTGTTTGTTTTTTAAACGAACTTAATTTTATTTTGCAGGTTGTCAAAACAGACAGAAATACAAGTAGTACCAGAGGTGTTTAAGCCTAGATGCTAGCAAAGACATCTCTCAGGAAGGTGGCAGACCTGAGAAATGCAATCCCAGGTCAGAGAAATTACATTTGTGCTTCTTTCTTACCACTGGTGGATTCTGATAGCTGGCTGTGAAGTTAAACTCCTGTTTTGTACTCTTTATCTTGAGGCAGAGAAATTTGGCTCGTTCGTTGTTTTCCAAAAGAATCTCATTCTTCACAAGTTGATTCCACAGAGATATCACTTCACTATAGCTATGCAGAACATTCCTCCCAAGATGATTAAATGTGGATGCCTGAAAAACAAAGAAGAACATAGTCGTCTGGCTGAGTTAGGACAGACAGGATCTTATTCCCCTAACAGCACAGCACAGAGGTGAAAAGAGGATCCTTACAAGAACTACTAGAAATAGTGCACCAGCATTTCAGTTATCAAAATATTCTGAATTGCCATAAAGATCTCAAAAATTATTTATGTCACTCTTATTTTATCCCATCTAAGCAGGAGAGAGAGAAATCTAAGTATTTGGAAAAACTATTGTTGATTAACAGTTTTTTCTTTCTCATTCAAGAATGTTTCTCACAATCCTCCACGCTGCGCCTGAACCAGCAGTGATCTAACAAGGAAAAACCGCAATTCAAAATAAAGGAACACCTTAAAGATCAATCTAAGTTAGAGGTCTACCACATCAGCAGTACATTCTAGAAGAAAGGCAAAACTTCCAGGCTCTCACCTCATTTATACAGAGGTAAATAAGGAGAAATTCAATGAAAATAAATGAAGTTCCTCCACGGCAAATCTACACTTTGTGTAGTGACAAATGTTTATCGCGTTGCTTAATGTTCAGCAACTGTGATGAGGTTAGGATAAAATCTTTATTTAATGGCATACTCTAAAATAAATTAGGAAAAAGCTTAGAATCCAGAGACTCAGGGCACGCCGATTCCATCCAATGGATATTTAATCATTTTATAAAAAGTGGAAAAATTCCAACAGAAAAGGCAGAAAACCACACATTGAGAACCCACTACTGAAGGTTCTCACAGGGGATCATGGGAGACCGGAATCACTCTCTGTGAGAGTCAAAACTAGACAACCTTCCATTTTTCACGACTGTTTCTAACCACTGAACTATCCTGTGTTCAATCAGGCAACAAGCTTACCATTTCTCCTACTGAATCTGTGCATTTTGTATAGATACTGGTATAGCCAATGGAACAAAGAATAACAGTAAGAACATCTTGGTGGCAAAGGTGTTCTTCTGCAAGACTGCAGCTCTGATATTTATGGAGCTCCAAATACTCACGCACCATTTTCCACTAAGGAGGCCAGAGCAAGAGGAAGCACGTACAATGAACTACATGACAGCTTGTCGGACAGGATATTCTCTAGGCAGAGGTGGGTTACACTCAACTCAAGCCGAGAATGCCTTTGAATCTAATGCCTCAAATTTAGGTGAATGCTGTAATCACTGGGCTCTTAATTTAAGAGTATGGCTATTGCTCTTCACACTTCTTAAATCAAACAAAGGCAAAGCTACAGAACTCAGTGGTTTCATTATCACTGAGGAACATATTTTAAACATTTCTTAGGTGGTGGTCCGGTTTTCCTACTTCCCCAAGAAGCTTCCAGCACAATTGAGAACTTTAAAAAGTTAGTTATTTGTACACACCTAGCTAGAACTCTCTCATCGTGTACTTGGGCTCTGTGCAGGGAGGGATGAACTCCTGTTCCAAAGAGGGACTCAGCTAGTGGCCCTAACATTTTTCAAAGTCAATAAATAGAACCTGATTGTGCTGACAAGCCAAGGCAGGCCTCACAGGAAGCCAGTGCGGAGGAAGAATAGCATATTGCTCAAGCACAGGAAACAGATTGAGGCAGAAAAGGCTTTTCAGAAAAGCCTTTCAGGACAGAAAAGGCATTTCAAGACACTCCCTTGTAAGTTAGCACACAGCGCAAGAGTTTCTCAAACAAACTACTTCACACAGCATGCTGAGCAAGTGTTATTCCAGTATAATGACAGTTCTCTCAGGCATCTATCACAAAGCTGTATCATCAAATCCGTACGCAAAAGGAAGCATCATGTTACTAACCTGCAGATATGTGGTAGCTGGGGTGTAAATATGAATTTTCCCTTCTTTTTCATTGCTTTCATCTTTATAGAATAGCTCCACTATGAGATTCTTAATAGAGATAATTTTCCCAGCTGTCAGCTCCATAGTCAGTAAATAAGCAGCACGCTGAGGCTGACCAAGTCTGTGAGCTGCATACAGATATAGCCATGGCGTATCCATATTTAATTCACCTGGAAAGAATATGTATTAAAAGTGAAGATAAGTGAAATTGCAAGCAACCTAGCTTCTAACTCTGCAACAAAGCTGATAGGAAGCTGAGCTTTGGGAATGAGAGTAAAATGCCATTATCAGTCTATTCTTCTCCAGCAGCCAAAATCTCCAGATGGTATATAACGAAATAAATGCTGTGAACTAGTGTTACATTTCATAGCGTAATCCACAGGAAGGGTTCCTAATAAATGGCAATTTATAAAGCCCAGAACTTATATGGCACCAGCAGAGGGTTCCACTCTGCAAGAAAATATGGAATCTTTACTTGAATTCTGATTCTACAACTATGATTCCCATGATTACAATAATGGCCTTACCAAAGCTGTTTGGACATATGCCATCTTAGAAATTCAATTCTGCAATACAAACGTTTGGAAAAAGATTTGAAGGTTATTTCGGAAACTAGTTTCTAGACAGCTCAGAATGATTACATCTGACAAGCTATTCAGATTTCATCGGCAGACATTTATTTATCAAATTACGCCAATCACATTGCAATATGATTCAGCAACTCACTCACGATTATTTTATGACAGATACTCACTAAGTAATCTCCAAATTTTTAAAATTTCAAAATTAATTGAATCATAGCTCATTTCATCTGGACAAGCAGAAGAACGTAACAGTGAATTCAGTCCACTGTATCAAGCTACTTATTTTGCATTAATAAGGACCCAAGTTTGCACACATGGTAAACGCTAGCTTTGAAAAACTCCGATTTATACAGCATGTAATCCCCTGAAGTATAAAATGGTAGCAGCACTGAATCCATCTTAAACACTACGTTCCAGAAATCTGATTTTTGGCACACTTAAGGTAACTTTACCCTTATTTGAGAAAGAACTCTAAAAATGTAAAATACAGCTTGCAATAATAAAGGCTTATTTCCTGCTGTGCTTTCTGAAGCAAAGGTCTAAGATACATGAAACTTTTAAATAGATCCATATATATACACAGGTGTTTAATTTATAGCTTAAAATATGCCATTAGTATTTTTGTCCGTGTCCTATTTCCTAGTGTTCTTAAAATAAATTTGATCACTCTTTTTTAAAGCAAAGAATGTTTTAAAATATGGTTCACTTGGTCAGCTATCTTAGCTAAAAACGAGTAGGACAATACTGGTCTGTATTAGGAGCATGGCCATCACATAGAGTAACTCCCCTCTGCACAGTACCGGGGAGGCTACACCAGCAACACTGGATCTAGTTTTGGACCACCCAGATCAAGATGGATGGTGAGAAACCAAAAAGAGGGTCTAGAAGAGGGCTCCTACGATGACCAAGGACCTAGAAACATGATAAACAACAAGAGGGGAGGGAGCTGGCTTGTTTAGTCTAGCAAAGACGTGGGGGCGCCTACAGCTACTTGAAGGCAAACAACAAAGATAAGGAACATGAACTGTTCAACACGCGCAGACAAACTGCCACAAATTGCACTTTGTGAAGCTAAGGACGCATTGTAAAAGGGTTAGCCAGATAGGCTGTGGAGCACCCATCCTCGGCAATTTTCAAGACACAGCTAGACAAAACCATAGCAGAGGTAACCTACCGCTAGCAATAGTCCTGCTTTGAGCAGGAAGCTAGACACCTCCAGGGTCTCTTCCAACCAGTATTTCTACGATTCTATGATACCCATATGCAACTACCTTATAAAATCCCAGCAGCTTCTTTGCATGCCTACTGTTCTAATCAATGATTGGAAATGGTTTGTGGTACTTCACCTTCCCATTTCTTAAGGTCATTTCTGGATGCATCTTTCCACCGTAGCCCAGCCACAAATGGCATGCGGTCATTATACTGCACCTTAAAGTTGGTGCTGCTCTGTGAATAACCCTGAGAACTGTGTGAGTGCTGCAGCTGGGTTCCGTAATTCACCTGCTTTTCCGGGACTTGCACGGCAAACTGGAAAACAAGTGAAACAAATTTAAATAAAAGTTGAATCCCATCTTCAGCGTTGTCTAAGATAACACACACATACAGAAGCAGGAAGGTCACCACTAGTGTCTCGGTTTTGTGCAGCTGCCATTTACTTTATAGTTTTTCCTGCATTACAGACTGATATTTCTTTAATACACATTTGTTACATCCACTGGAGATTTCAAAGGGAAAATTTTCCACTGATTTCTGGACCATTTACTTGGTTAAAAAATAATGACCATAGTTCTAGGACACTCCATGCTGGGATGACATAAATTCCATGCCTACAGGTGCTCCCTATGGAAATAGTCTAATGACATCCCACCTCAGAAAGTTAATACCTATTTTAAGACAGTAACACATAAGACCTGTAACTTCTAAGAAATAACACAAAAGTTTACGTGCATAGTTTCCACAAAACAAACAAAACAAGGGATCGCAGGATATGCTGCTTTAAACCATTATTTTCTTTCTTTTGGGAGCCTATAAAACAGGCTTCAAAAGAAGGCATAAACCTTCTGATGCTTTTAATTATGCTTCGTTATATTGGAAATCTTTTTTCTGATCCAGGATAAAAATCGATTTATAACCAAAAAAAAAAAAAAAGAGAGAACAGGTAAGTAGTATAGAATTGCAACAGCTAAACTAAGTTCCACCTAAATGCTGTAATATTCTGAGTAATTATATCGTGCACTCCCCTTCAGCACCATGTGAGCACAGCAATCTTTGTAATGACTGGAAATAATCGTGCATAAAATGAGCAAACACTGCAGGAAACTCAAATCACATTACATCCAAACCTTTTCTGGTATTTGAAAAGTCCACCAACTGGATTTCTGTTGTTCATTTTAAATGTCATTATATTTATGTATTTGGTTAAGACCATCCTTAACTCTTAAGCTCATCAGCTCACATTATTAACACATAACACAGCTAGAAAAAAAAAGTCTTAATAAAATAATTCATCCCAATTTTTTCTTAGTTTTTCTTTTATATCTTTGAAAGAAAGGTCTTACTGTTTAACAACCATGATTACCTCCATGAAATAGTTGACTAGAAACGAATTGGAACTATCCTTAAATGCTTGGCTGATCAGAACTTTCTTCTTGTTGTTTATTTCATCCCAGTGCTTCCCATAGTTCAGTTCCATCTGGGAGGAAAGCCAAGATGCACTTGCTTCATGTTTCAGGTGAACCTAAAGAACAAAAATCCATCTTCCCTCTCTGTGCCATGTCTTCTCTTTCAGTCACTGCTGTAAACTGCCTGTAGAAACATCCCTAAATAGCAAGCAGGACTAAAGCAGAAAGGGTTGCAAATCTTCCAGCAAAATCATCAGAAGACTTAAATTCAGTGTACAAAGCCCAAAATGTTTAGTCAATGTGCTGCTAGTCAAATTGCTTTTCTCCAAAGCTAAGACAACTGCACGCAGGTACTCCTGATGGACTGCCCCAAAAGGATTCATCATGCAGCTGCACAGTCTGGCAAGATTCTGCTTCATGGGAAATCTAACACTTTTTGGCTTCAATCCCACTTGGACCAAAAGCAAATTTGAAAGGACACAGAATTTCCCACTCAGAACTCAGAAGCTTATTTTTCATCCAGTTCTGTATTCTGCAGCAAATACTCAACATTAAGGCTGATTTGTCTTTAAAAGAAACTTTGTCTTTGTACAGTTAGTCAGAAGGAAGAGATTTTACACAGGTATGCCTTTCTCTGCACTGGAGGGGCACACACTCGCAATTTTTAAGTGTCTCCAAATCTGAACCGGAAAACTAATACAAAAATCAAGTAAAATGCCTTATTTTCTACACAGACAACTTCTGATGATAACCACAGAAGAGAGTAACTTTTTAGTTACTTCTAACTTTAGTTTGAAGGCCAGAACAATTAGATGCAATCATAAACTTATTAACACTATTACTTTACATGTAATATAAACATTTTCATAAACACTGCAGAAGGTCTGTGAAAAGATACATTAAAAACGTCATCACTGGAGAGTTTGACAATTTACAGTGTAATGGAGGGCACAAATCAGCCACTTGACTTGATCGCTTTGTCTACACAGGAGATCAAGACAAAAAAAAAGAAGATGAGAAGAAAAAGACCAAACCAAAAATGACATATTGGACATTGCTCTGTTTAAGCCCCTCAGAAAAGTACACAGGTGATTTGCTCAGCGCCTCTACCTTGTGATTATAGGTGGGAGTCTGCGTACAGTGAAATTCATGCCCAATATGCAGTCTGTATACTTCATGTGCACCAGTCTCCCCTTTAATCTTTTGCCCCGTACTGCATTCATGATGAAGGTATTTTGCAGCTCCTGTTCAGGTTAAATTACAAAGTTATCTGTTTACATTATTCAAAAGTAAACTATCAAAATGCCAATAGTACAAATCTAGAGTCGGTTTCAAGATTTCTATTTTTCAAAAATATTAGAGTGGGATTCATCTATTTTTACAGATATATATACTTCTTGTTTTATCCTAAGAATCCAAAGAAAAGCTGAACCTGCATTTAAGAACAGTGAGTTTGTATTTGCTAGATAGAGTTTGTATTTGCTAGATAAGTGATTCATATCTATGAAAATGAAAACACTACCACAGCAAGAAACAAAAGATAAGTAGATATTTAATTCATGTGAAAGGACTGGCAGTTCTTCTTCACTGTCTTGACTCCTTCCCAGATTCTAACTACTGGTTCCAGCAACTGTTTAACCACCAAAGGAGCAGGACAAGTATCACAAGTCCAAGTGCATGGAAGACAATAAGAGGGCTGAGCACACGAGTTACAGTTATAATCTTTATGAAGTATGTTCTGTGGTTTAAGGGTCCTGGATCAGTTTGTTAAGACTGATAACAGTAGTGGTATACCTGCAGCACTATGAAGTACAGCTCAACAACTGTTCTCAATACCTGCCCAAGATCTAGACATGTTTTCCAGACTCAAAGCTGCAGTCAAAACACAGTTTCTGATACTTGAACTTATTTGCCAGTTAGCTGTCCAACCTAATGGCAATCAATAACTTTGCACTGCTGACTAGAGATATGTTTTACAGGCAAAACAACTCATAAAAGTTAGGAAAAACTGGGCTAGGCATTAAGAATTTTGATTTTTTCCCAAAAGCAGCACTAGGTGTGATAATCCTAAGAAGATCCATGTTATAGGCTTTACAGTAAGAGTTTGGGCCCATGTTTATTTCATTCTCTAATAAAATTTAACTTGTTTCCTTCCAAGTTCAGGAAATTGGAAACAGGTGGTTCATATTAAGAACAGAATGAAAATGATGTAAATATTTAGGCTGTTTTTAAGAAAACTGAAGGCTGTGCTTATATGTCTACTCTGCCAAATCTCCAGATTGTTTCATTTTTTTTTTTTTTTTTTTTTGCGGAAGAAGTAAGAGAGGCATCTAGGTTTATTATTTAAATGGAATTTTACCTCAATGAAGTGTTATAAATTAATCATGGTCAACTTCTGCAACTTTCTTGAGGCCTCACAGTATTTGAAGATTTTCTGTTACCATTCAGCTCCTGACATCATTATATTACATGAGAATCTCAGTTTTCATTAAAAACAAATCAAAACCTATAATAAACTTCCAGTCCTCATGGTCACCGAGAAAAGCTTAAAATAACGAATGTGAAGTTTTAGCCAGTGAGTATAATTAATAATCTATTTTTTTTAATTGCAGTACTATTAAATGGAATTGGTTTTGATTACTTCAGGTGCAAAAGTTGCCAAACTGGGTATATATCAAGATCTGACTTAAGCTCTAAGTAAGTAACTGCAAAATAGCTTTTCTTATATACTAGCCTTGTCTGTGACTGTTATAAACATTCAGGTATGTTTCTGTTTGTAGAAAATATTCTAATCTGCCTTTTTTAGCAAAACGATGGGATCATACCTGTACTGGTTTAAGAAAATTCATACTGGTATATATGTTCTCTGAATGTGCAATATGCTTTAGATATACAATCACTCAGTACCGCTCACAATGACCAGCTACTACAAGTATTCAGTACATTCATAGAGTTGTTCTGAGGTCCACCTGCTTTCCCTAATAAAATTAACGTAGAGTTTATATGTTACAGCTGGTTAAGTACAGCAAATTACTTGCTGGAAGCATTCCCTCACATTTTTAAGTGAATGCATGCACCTGTTCATTTGGCATAAACATCTGGGAACATGAATTAATTAGGAGAAATTCCTACTGAAAAAGCAAACTTTTAACAAACGTTGGACATATTTGTGAAAGCATATTAGAAAAAGAATTTTTTATCCAAGTGGAAAGAGAAACTCAATCTAGCTTAAAAATGGTGTGAAATCTTTCCTGTTAAGAGAGGTTCCTGGACACACAGGCAAATAGCTTGCAAAAGAATGTGAGGTAAACAGAATGTTTTCACTTTTCCTCATGTTCACCGTACCTAGGAGTCCGTATTTTATCCTCAAAGCATGAGACCACAAGCTCTCACGTTGCTGGAGAAGATCGATGACATGAACTCCAAGAACACCTGGAAGGTAAGTCTCCCCTTCAAGGGAGTACTGTCTCAGCTTATCATCAAGGTTTTTCTCCAGAAATACTACGGCAAGAGTAGAATGGAGCATGCAGTGATAGAACACAAAGTTACTTCAGTTAGCAAAAGGAATACTCCAGTGGGAAAAAAGCAAATGTGACCAGTGTCATCCCATCTAACTGAGGAACCCCATGTAGTCTTGGTAAGCTCCTTGTAAAATAAACAAAAAAGACAGACCATGTTCAATCTCGTATTCTGATTACTTACACAGCCTGTACAGACTGTATTTCTAGTGGACAGCTCAGATACTGCCTGAAGTTTACTGAAATGAATCCAGCCAAAAGCTATTCCTTAAAGGGAACTCATTCTAATGGACTGATCCTTTTAATTAACTATACAGATAACAGATGTGAAGATTTACAGCTTTTACATTAAGTTGGCAAAGATGTGGCCTTTGTAAGGGAGGAACCGAGGCAGCCCACTTCTCAGGGGATATCTGTTTGAATCTCACAAGCATCATCTTTGGATGCAGTCACTAGCACTCCATGTGGAAGTTAAGGATGAAGTAGAAATTTCACGAAGAGATGATCTCCCATGACACAAACTGGCAATTGGCATTCCTGAAAAATTAGTTTTATTTGAAAATATTGTGGAGTCTTACGACCTAGCACTGTCTTTGCCACATGGAGACCACAGTAAGAAATACTAAGGAAAAAAACAGAGAGCCTTAGTCTTACAGCACTGATTTATTCTACTGGATTAATTTACCTTTTAATAAACTGACATTATACAAATGATAAAGCCCTCTTCCTGATATTTTCCCTCTTACATTTCCTGTTACTGTATCCGTGAGGAAAAACCTAATTTCAAGATTTTCAGAACAACGGGTCTTAGAAGTTTAGCTACGTATTTGTCTCTCTGCACTGTTTTGTACTAACAAAAGTGAACACCAGAAAATAGTGTAAATATTGTAATTGTTTCTAGTTAAATGACTCCTTACAAATTATTTCCTCCAACCTGTTCAAGAGTAATTAAAAACAGATGCTTATTTTATAATTTATGGTGTAACTCCTATTAGTACTAATATGTATTTCAGAATAATTTAGCAATAACAATCATTTTGTAAAGCAATCTGACTGATTTGAAAGGGATGCTAGAAACACATGTCCAAAAGGAGGCAACCTTAATACAGCCTCCGTACTTCCTGAGACCTCCAGAACTCACATTTATACGGCAAACACTCATCGTCCTCTGACCTGAAAGAAACGCAGCATCCTTCAATAAATTATTCAGGGACACTGAAAAAGCTATCTTCTTGCCAAGCTGTTTAGTGATGTTTCCTGACAGAACGATAGGGCTGCTTTGTCTTATCAGCTTTACCTCCAGCTGGGTCATGTATCTCTGCTCTCCACTCAGTATGTGTAAATCTGTCATTCCCTAAAAACAAAAACAGGCACAAAACAAAACAAAAAACACCCACACCAAAACCAGAACAAATAAAGAAAATCAAAATGCAATACTACTCAACAGTGCAAGTTGATAAATTTTGATAAACCAATACAATAGATGCGGGCACTTCAGGAATGAGATGAGAGGAGGGAAAAAAAATCTGTTTTTTTCCTCTACACCCCAAAAAAACTCCATTAAAGTTGCTGTCAACAAATAAAGGGGAGGGAGGATGGTGTAATTTTTACAATTATACAAAAACCACAGTGGTGTGAGATGATTTCCTTCACTTCCTGCTGGTTTCTGTAGTGACTGAAATCACAAAAAATGTTACCACAGTGCACCAAAAAATTATACAGTGTTATTGAAAACACTGGCTGTTTAGTAGGGAACTAGATTTACGTTGGACTAGATGCAAACACAACACTCTGCAAAGCTAAGTAGTGTTTGGGTTTATCATCAAGCTGAATACAAGAAGAAACATCCAAAATACCTTAGCTGCAATCTTACTCTAGGAAAAAAAAAAAAAAAAGTTAAATACTGTGCTCACAGTAGGAGAACGCAGTGTTTGAAAGTGTTTGTGTGGGCCTTGTTTGGAGGCCCACACAAGACGTGTCTCCCTGCTATGGGTTTCAGACAAGTAATGAACAAAGTTTTACGTCTTAGAACAGAAAAAAAAATCCCAGTAAAATTTCAGTGATAAATGTCCACCTGAATTTTTGTTTGCTTTTTCATTTCAGAGATTAGACATTGACATGTTCTTGCTTATTCCCCTGTGCTTTAAAAAAATGGCTTATGTTAACAAAGAACAGTATCTTGAAGATTTTCACATCAACGGAGTCCACAGAAGCGGAGAAAATAAGCCTGCACTTACTCACAGTCATTACGTATGGGCAGACTATAAGTCTGAAACTGTGTGTGACTATACATACACATAAGCCATCGTCCACAGGAGTCAATGTTATCTTCTCTACTGGCTTAACATTGCAAGCAACCTAAAGGCTTCAGGTACATCTGAATATGACAAAATTGCTTTAGATTACATGCAGATGCTATGCCTTAAATCTCCTAACACCCAGAAATTTAGGTTCAATACATACTGGCAGATCATCTCAAAATAACTAATAAAACGAACTGATAATTTCTCTGAGTAATTATTCACACAGATACTTTTCAATACACATTGGCTTTCTTTTTGGATCGCCTTCATGTGCTTTTATTTGAGGATTCATCCTAGTATGAGAACTCCTGGACTGAAAACATACCTTAATGTAGTACACATCTCGGTCATCTACTACCAGCTCCAGACGTCCAATCCGTGAATTTTTAGAAAACTCAATTTTCCCTTAGAGAAAAATAAAAAGGTTTACTTTTTCCTGGACACACACAGTTCAGTAATGCTTCATAAAAATGTATCCCTAAGTGCTAGTTGCCATTTCTGTGAACTCTGTGCCGTTTCCGTGAAATACTCTGCATTTACAGAGTAAATAATGTAGAATAAAGTTTGCAAAGGGGTTGAAGTGTCCTCAGAATATACATCTCATTTTTAAAGGATGAGCACACTCATGGAGAAGAGGCAACCAAGCTGTCTCCAGCAAACTAGCTTCACTCTGGTAGTGATTTACATAGCTCTGTGCCAAAGCTCATAAGCTGTGTTGTGCTGTGGAGACATTCCCTGAGCTCAGAACACTTTGCACCACAAACCTTTGCACAGTGTAGGTAAATCTTCCATGTAATCCATTTTGAAAATAAGTGGGGTCAAGAAAAACATTTCTGGAGGGACAAATTCTCTATTTGTGATTTGGCAAAATATATTTAAAAAAAAAAAATCAGTCTGACTTTGGCGGACAATACATTTTTATATTAATCTAAATACTTTGACCATCATGTCAAATAAGTTGAAATTTGTTGTCTATACTATTGTCACACACACATTATCAGTTTATATTTCATCAGTGTGTTTGTTGATTTTATTTTCTATATTTTACTGTGATTGAAACGTTATGTTCAATTACAACGCACAGTAATATCATAATCAGTACTTTAATTGGTTTGGCAACAAGTAATTTCCTATCACAACTAGGAGAATATAGAAAAATAAAAATTCAGTAACAGTAAGGCCACTTAAGCGTTATGTAATAGATTATAGTATAATCCATCATGTTTCTTACCCTTAACTTCATATATACTAGTAACAGCTTTCCACTTTGACGCAAGTTTGTGAATGACATACTGAACCTCTGACTGTGCAAAACAGGAAGTCTTAACCAAGATGCAAATACCATTGGGAATGGGTGTCACCTAAAGCAGTAAATTGAATGGCTATCACACAGCACTGTAGTTTTAACACAAGATTATTGACTGAAATATATAGGCATTTCTCTGTTAATGCTAATAATTTCTCCTGATTGACATTGAATCTTGACCTGTTTCTTAGCTGGAAAACCTACCATCTATCTCGATTTTTTTCTTTGGTTGTATAAATTTGATTCTGAATTTCTTCTGTGGGACATTAAAATTTAGGTCAACGCCAACATCCCTTTTCAAGTTTGACTTTGGAGTCCCAATGAAGAAGTGAAGAACAGCTTCATTTGGGATCCAAGAATTCTCCTGAAAAAAGAAAGGATAATGACATTTGTGACAGGCACAGAATTTGCAAAACAGAGCCTGTCAGACTGAATTACATCACATGATCACAACCATCTTCACTGCTATCATCTTTTTTATGCCTCTGCTTTCAGAATTTTACAGCAACCAATCTCTATTTCTCCTGTTCCCAAGCTGTATTTTCCCTTCCCTGTCTGGTGCTTGTGTTGGGAAACTCTGAACACCTGGGATGTCACAGCAGACTGAACTCGTCTTGAAATCATGCTGAATCCTGCCAAAATATGGGGAAATTCAGAAGACACTTCCAGTTACAAATGTAAGCTCTACAGTTCAGGCCTAAGTCACAAGCATTTTCAGCAATTTTCTTTAAGGTTCAGTACTTTACAGATTTTCTTTAGGGTTCTACGCTCTCCCATGAAAGTCAATGTTTTTCTTGAGTCCGCACTATAACATTACAATATTACAATATTAATCTTTGGATTCAAACCGTAAGAAATGCATTTGAGAAATCTGAGGAGTTACCATGAATAAATACAAGGAAAAATCCTATTTAAATAAACATTTCTTAAAATACAAAGGGGAGACAATATTTAAATGTTTCATTTCAAATGACAAACTATATGAATTTATAATAAACCTACAAACCCTAGACAACACTGCACAACAATCAGAGCACAACTATACTATCACTGGCCCATCATTTTTAGAATATAAGTCTCTGTATTTCTCTTCAGTCCAAAACACAATGATTCTAGACATTCAGTACTTTCCTTTGCTGCAATCTCCATGCTCGTACGACAATTGCAGGCTGCATTTACAATGAACTGTTTTGCAAGTATTGCAGCAACCTGCATGAAGTTTGGAAGGAGGAACTATAGGGGGAAGAATCCGGAAATAGCAGGAGGAAGCAAATCTCTCTTCATCTGGCCTAAATGACAGCAGCAGTTGCAACATCTCTATCAATAGTTCTCCTAACAAAAAATAGTTAGGTTTACAAACACAGAACTCTCGTATCTTCTTACGTACTATGAAGCACAAGAAATAAACACATCCTGACATATCTTAAGTTTATCTACCATCACCTGTTGGACAGGAGTATGTGAATCTTGGATTTGATTCTGTTCAAAACAATGAGGTTATTTCAGGACTGAAAGGTTGGCTTGGGGCTTTACCCCTTCTTTCTCTTTGCAGTTTCCCACAATCTGTTTCAACTCAAAAGATATCAAAGATAATCTTGAAAGAGTAAAGGAGGAGCTCCAGAAACTGTCCCCAGACACCGAGTGCATCATTTTAGAAAAAGCCCTAAATCCTTGCTGTCTCTTGCAGAAGGTAAAAAAGACCCACTCCTTCTAATTGAACTTAGTTAGTTATTTCATTCTAATTGTTAAAGCGGTTAATGTGAATTGATGTTTTTTGTTGTAACAAATAGAAACAAGTCAAAGTGAGGTGGGGCTCTATTTCCAGCTCTATCAGTTTTATCCATGCAAATGTCTTAATATTCCTGTATATGGATAATAATATTTACCCACTATTGGCATCTGTAACTTTTTTCTATATCTTTTCCCACTTTAATAGGAATGGGAACAATAACAACAATGCAGACCCTGAAAATTAGCTAAGTTGAATATACAGTACTGAGATGTACCATTCTTTCATCAGTATAAGTAAACTAAAAAAATTTACCAAAGCCAAAGTAAAGCATGACATAATGAGGAATTACCCGAGGAATATAGCTATATGCTGCTTCCACAAGGTATTGCTGCAGGCCTCTGTCTTGCTTAGTTAATGTGACAGACACTCTCAGAGGTCCAGTAAAGGGGAAAGGCAAACCACTGGCTGAGTCAGGATACAACATTTCAGAACACAACTGCCAGCCGATAATCTTGGACACTGGTGGAACACAACAGTTAGACATCCAGGGAGAACAACAAACAATGAAAATATACAAACCCCAGTGAGCACTGAAGACTCTTCAGAAGCAATATGAAACCAGAAGAAATTATATTCTATAGAGCAGTCTCCGTTGTGGTTTAGATCTACCCCCTTATTTCAGAATGATCACACTTTCTAAGACAAATATGATACCTAGACTTACCTTCCTCCCTAGTGCAAGATCTGGTTTCTGTGCGGTCCTGGAAGACATCAATATCTTCTGTCTCATCCACCATTGTGAAGTAGAGTCTAGAGCTACAATCGAGAATTTCAAACACGCACCTCAAAACAACTACGCTAAAGCTACAGCAAGTTTTAAATAAAGTTCTCAGTTGTATGCCATCTATTTCCAAATGAGAAATACAAGAAAAGTTCTGCTAAGGTCACTCTAAAGTGCTATTAATCAATACTGATTTTTATCCACAATTTCCATATTCAATCTGTCACTATCATGATATGGTTCCACAACGCTTTACAATTAGCTATAGATGTCTTTGTTCGAAGCAATTTGGTATGGTCAGCTTATTGCAATTCCACTGACTTCCTGGCTTCTATACTTTTTTTCCCCTTAGGAGATGATATGGACATCAGTTTTGTTCCAGTCCCAAAGTGCTTCCAGAATTTCACTGAACTGCTTGTACAAGGACCATGGTACCTGCCCTTGATGGGAGCAAAAGGGCTGATGAAACATCTGATAGATTCTACAGACAGTCTCTTGTTCAAATAATGCAAAATACAGGTTTGTAATTATTTTGATTTTCAGTCTTCAGCCGAAGAAGTGTCAAAACCAACACCAGAATCTTTTCTAGCATTCCCATGAGGATTAAGGCCTTTCACACCAGAACTCGGGCAGCTTTACCGCACACAAAAGGGCAAAATACTAGTGGAGGGGATTCATGATCTACTGCAAAAAGAGATTCAAACTTCTATGATGGCCTCTGAGCATCTCTGTTCAAATCATCCCTTCTCCTTTAAGCCACTTCAGTTTATACTGCATTTACTCACATTGTAGTTATCAGATCCATGATCTGATATTATGCATACAGGGAGAAAAACATGTTGACCCCATTCTTTAAACAACAACAAAAAAAAGTAAATCCTAAGGATAAGTAACCACAGCTACAAATAACACTAGCTGTAAAATGACTTAACAACACAAAAAACACATTAGGTCTACAGTATGAACCAGTACACTTGAAATGTATTATTTAACGTAGCCCAACATCTTATTAAAATGCTAAAATGAATAAAGAAAAAATGGCTTAGTTTGGCATTTCTTTTTTAAAAGATGAATGGCCCATCATCCATCCTAGCTCTCAGAAAGAGAATTACATCACAAAGTCTCCCAGGGTCCTAAAAGGAATGGACAGTTTAAATGCTAAATCCACAGTCTTTTAGCTCGTAAGTTTTTCCTGAACTGCATATCCTACAGTACTGCAGTGTCCCAAATCAAGAGAACTAGATAGCAACAACGATCCACATACTGCAAACACTTCATTCATCTGCTGTCATGTCTAAAAGGCATGTGGCCTACAATATGTCATCACATTGATTATTTCAGTGCTTTCTACTTGGGACTTCTATCAAATCTGGAAGTGCAAAGAACAGAGAAAGCCAGCAGACAAAAAAAGCTAGAAAGCCTAGCTTGCATTAACGCAAGCAATTCATCTGCTTAACAACTGACAGTTGTTGAGGTGGTATTTTACAATAAATGCTTTAACCAACATCGAAGAATCTAAGTAAAAACTCACTAAAAGGATAAGAGTACACCTCATTAGTACCATAGTCCAAACTACTCTAGTGTTTAGCATTCTGTATTTGGTTTTGCTAAACACCATCTGTAGAAGTAATGCTAAGTTTTCACTCCATCACTTTAATACCCTGAACTAGATTCTTCAGATACTGAAGTTCCAGAAACAGCACTGAAATTCAGTAGAAAAAAGGAGGGGAGTATGGAAAATTCATTTACATCTTTTATTTTCAGGTTTTGATTTGACCATTTCACTTCACTGGAAGGATGTATTTATGGTAAAATAATGTAAAATGCACGGAATAATTTCCCCTTCCTCTTCTTCAGAATAGCAGATTTGGACTATGAGTCAGTTTGTTTCCTGACAAAAAAGTATTTCTGCACTATTAACAAGTCTGCAAGTTAAGCTCTGATTCAAGGTTATCAAAGTTACTATTTGCAGGAAGATGTCCTTGCTTCATCTTACCTGAAATTAATTATCTCCATAGATTCTTCTGGAGTGTTCAAAAAAACTTTGAGTTCTTTCCCTTTTTTAACCTGGATTCCCCCATCAAGACTAGTAGATGTCCTCATTCCTGTTTCCCAGCTCAGACCAGCTTTTCCCAGCGTCCCCACAGTTCCCATTTGGACAGAAATCTGGAGAAATGCACTGTTGAAAGATGCAGATGCACACAAGTCTATGAAAGGCACTTTCTTTTTAAAGCACTTGATTTAAACCATAGGCTTCTTATCCTCATCAATAAACACATAGTGTTTGATGTTGTACAAAATATATTGCTAACAATAAAATCATGATGAATATTTTGTTTCAGGAACAACTGAAAATATTCTATGTATATAGACACACACTTTCTAATACAAATTACTGCAAAACTAAGCGTTATGAGAGAGATATGTCCCGAGTAATTGATTTGAGCCCAAACTTCAGCAGGGAATATCAGGGAAGGGAACCGAGTGACCTGGTTTAAGTCAATTTCTAGTTATTTCGCGCTTAGCTAAGGTTAGTAAACAACTCAGTATGTGTAAAAAGCTACTATAGCCAAATAAGGAAACACATGGTTAAATCATCAGCTGGTTTGTAGATTCATAACTGCATGTCTGGTCCTGAAAAAATCCAAAAAAGGCGACATCCCTGTAATGAGTCAAGCAATTCAAAAGATTATCTGCATGCAAACATTCAGGAATTTGACTTAAAGATAGGCGAGAATGGTCAGCTTAAAGCAGGACTGAAAAAGCACAGCAATGGAGAGTTTAAAATCAGACAGGCAGGACAGGAAACAGCTACTTTCCTTGCAGCGCAGCAACCGTTCAACAACTTAAGCCTGGAGACTGCTGAATTCTTCAGGAATTTCTTCACTGATTACAACGGATGTCCACATTGAATTTGCATATCAGGAATTGCTACTTAATGCCAGGAATATGTGGAAGTGACAAACATTTGCAGCAGCTATTACCTTGGCTTGATATACCCGCTTACAAAGAAATTTGACCGTTTTTTGAAGTTCACATTCCCTTTGATTTTTACATTGGTTGCTGCTGAGGCATTGACAGCCAGTTGAACAGGAAAGCCTGAAATTGCTGGAAATTGCAGTTCTTCAGTGGCCAAACTCAATCTTCTATTAAACTGAACCTCTCGTCCCTATGGTGAAAATAACAAAAAACAAATCAAAATTATTTTGCATAATCAAGCCACCATGCAGGAATTTTTCCAGACCTTTTTGGGGGGCAAAACTATGCATTGCATTTCTCTTCCCTGGATGTATTTTTAACTGAGCTGGTTTTGGAAACAAGGAAGAAGGCAGCCCAAAGCCTGTGTCTTGCTAGTGCATGAGCTAGACACTACTCCTTTCCTGGTTAAAAAATGGAATTATTTTGCCCTTAAGCATGGACGCTTTTGAATGAGAAAATGAGATAAGAATCATCAGACAACAGACCCAGTCCTTGCCTCATAAACACTAAGGCTATTCAAAGCACCATTTACCAAATGCTGTTTAAACCCAACATATATTGGAGTCTTTTAAAGTTTGGTTTAAAGAAAGAACAAGTAATAGTCTGTAACTTCTACATATCTGCCAGAAGGTAGTTTCTCAAACAGCAGAAAAGTTCCTTTTACCTTCAGAAGTTTGACTGCCAGCTCAGCCAGATTTAAAGAATAATGTTTCATCTGTTTTCTTAAATCTTCACAATCCACAAAGCTAAGTTCATTTCCAAAGATCTTCATGCTTAGCTCACATTTCAGCTCCTTCTTCCTCACCATTCTTTCAGTGAACTGACATGTGGTAAAGACATAAAGCAAGAAAAGAATTATGTTTACATTAAACTCCTTTCAGACCAATATTAAACAATTCCTCAGTACAGTTTATGTTATTAGCAAACAGATATCAGGCTCCCCTTTATAAATATTTCAAGTCCATTTAAGATCCTGGATTAGTACCTGTCCTTTACAGCTAAACTTCAGCTCCATACCGCACAAGTTGGCTTTCACTTAACACAGGTAATTTGCACTCCTAAGGTGACTCAGAGAAATGCTAAGTATTGCTGTACCTGCCCACAAACAGATGAAGTCTTGAAAATGGGAATACAATTTCCACTATTATGCCATTATGGGCACCATGGTTGCTAAGCAAACTGTAAAGAGGCAAAATTTAAATTTTCACTCCTTAGGAACCCATACAAGAGTAATACAACATGGACCACGAGACATAAGTTTACACTGAAGAAGAAAGATGAACCCTAAGAAGAGATGTGGTCTAAGACAAACAAAAGAAATCACGGCTTCCAACTTTTCAAGATAATACTTCAACAGTTAAAGTCAATTCCTACAACTTCCCTGTCATATACATGGAACATAGCTCCCGCCCACATCAGACTGTTCATCGATCAACACATATAACATCTGACAGCAAATCTGGGAAGTCAGATCACAAAAACATGACTCAGACACTAAGCATCAGGCAGCTGTTTACAGTGCCGCAGAAGTCATCAGATAAAAGGACATCACTGGAAAGAGGGTCAGTGCTCAAAATAATAGGAGGAACCCCATAATACTGGCAACATATTCCCCTAGCTCAGGGTCATTGTTTTGAGATAAAACTTTCTGAAAAAACTAGAGACTCAGCTCTTCATGGCTTTGTATTTTGTGCAGCTGTTAAGTTCTGTGTAAATGAGCGGAAAAAGTTACGTATGCTTTCTGCAAAGGAGACATTATTACACAAAACAATAAGCAATGCTAGATGGAGTCCTAAGGTTAACTGGGAAATGTCATGAATTTTTCCAAGATCTACAGAATCAGTTACCTTCTTCACTAACTCACTCATCTTATTATACTTTCTAGCGGGACAATTCTGGTTAGCTCTTCCCAACTTTGCCTTGCCAGCTTTGGTCACAAGACGATCACCACGGCTGTACCGCTTGGAAGTGAACTTCCTCTGCTTGACCTTTCCTACCGTCTTCACTGGGTTTTCTGACTTGCGCTTTCTTTCATCAGTGTTTGCAAAAAAATTGTCACTGAAAGTAGCAGACTTTCGCCCAAAAATCTTCTGCATGAGAACTTCTGCATTCTCTAACCGTACACCAACCTACAGGAAAAAATACAGTGTTCAAAAGCCTGAAAATGAGATACATAAACCACGTCCAGTTCCATAGGCAGAAATTCAACTAAAAATACATCAAAGTTGACAAACCTTCAGGTTTTTGTAGGAATGATTTGCCATACAAGATCACAGTGGTCTATAAAGCTTAGTATCCTACCCCATGCAGCATCCAACACCGGGTATTTCAGTATTAACTATTTTACTATAGTTTGTTGATTATATGAAGCTCAGTACAAAAGAAAAATCCTTTCTTAATCTCGTACCAATTCATTTATACCATGAGGGATGGTCTGAGCTACCTTAGTTTAGCATGTTACAAATGATATTTTGGTTGTAAAACAAGAATGCACACATTTTATGCTCCTGTAATAAGATTCTGTTTGGAAATTTGACTAAGACAACACTGCTAATATGGATTAATTAGGGATACATGGCATTGAAAAGATTTTTTTTTCTGCTTACTACCCCTACACTTATCTTGAGATCTGAAGGTTACATTAAATTCTTTCTTCCGCATACGCATTTTTACCTGCAATAAAGATTCCACATGCCAAACGTTGCTTTCTTTTACAGTTGAGCTACTCAGGGCACAACTAGAGGCACAATTAAAGAAGGTGAGGCTGCAGGCCATTTAATTTACCCAACCATGGGACAGTCAATGGGACTAAAACTATGAGTTCAGTCAGCTATGTATGACTCTCTCCCTCTTGTATTAAAGGAGTAGTGTATCCAAGTCAATCCAGTTTCCACCGAAGTCAACTGAAGGAAGCGGACTGAGTTAAATTGGAGCTAGATCAGGGTTCTCAGAATGCAGCAACACTGACCTTTATTTTTTATTTGAATCAACAACTACAGTCAAATATAATTCACGTGGCTAGTGTATTGTACTATCAGAGCAAAAATGGTTTCAACGTGAATATGCCCATTGAACAAAGGGGTCTTCTTGTCAATCTGAAGGCAACTTTGCAGTAGCAGTGAAAAGCATACCTTGGTACAGGGATTGTGATGGGAAAATAGAACACATTTCTTTCTACTTCAGGCCACCAAATCTCCTTTGAACAGGGGGATTAAAAAATAAAAAGAAATCCCAGAACTTGCCTCCAGTAGATTGATAGCCTGCCCCATAAGGTGAACAGTAAAGTTTGTCATGACTGATCGTGGTAGAAAAGATGCAGGAGAAAAGACTACTGATCCTTCCATATTTGCACCTGCACCAGCTGCAATATAAAATAGCAGATGTCATTTGGAGTTCAGCTATTCTCATCTACTTTTCAGTATAGGAATATATATCATTCTTTGAGAAACTGCGACTTTGCCCATCAAGAAGATGGTGAATAAAACATTCAGCCAAAAGCATTAACTTTTTAGCATAGCAGAGACTTTAATGGGCATCGCTGAAAGCCTGCTATCTTGCTCACACTAAAAAAAAGAGTATTTACAATACGTACCTTATAGAGAAAGATATAGATAGGAAATCAAAATGTTGATTTGAAAAAACATTATCATGACTTTATTCCTAATGTTAGATAGTTAGATAGTTAAACAAGAAGGAAGTAAACTGAATCTTTTCTTACACCAATGAAATCACATAAATCAGAGGAAAAAACACATCCCAGTCCCCTGTTGCTGCAAAGGAACCTTACTACGGAAGGAATCAAAAGTTGGTGTTCACAAAAAGAAAGAAATTTCATTGCTTCTTATTTTTCACTCTCAAAAAAGACAAGTTGCATATTATCTGGCTTGCTGGAGTTATTTTTGATATACCCCAATAAAAGTCAGAGTAGAATCAAGCCTACGTTTGCATAGCTATTTTCTATTAAGTCATGAAAATTAAAATTCTCCCCTATGAGATAAGACATAAAGGACCAGAAAGCCATGTGGTTTTTGATAATGCATGTTTTACAAAGAATCAAGTTGCAGAACTCTACAAACCTGTGTGGAATGTGACATCCGAATATGAGGAGTATTTCCATGCCTCCCAGTCAAAATCTTTGCTAAGGATGTCATCAGGAAGAGAATCTCGAAGGTTCTCCTTCAGTGGATCATCTGTCTCCAGGAGCTGGGAGAGATGACTCCAAACAAAGGAGCCCACTTCAATTAGACAAAGAAAAGCATTCGGAAATCAGAGAAAAAATTTAAATAAATTTTAAAACTGATACAGGGCATCTTTTTATTTATACCACAACTAATCCTAAACCATTCCTCTGACTGCAAGAGAATTCACTCACTTTCAATAGCATTAAAACCAGAGTTTGATGCACACTATCTTTCCCACAGTCAACTTATTTAAATACTGTCTTATTGCTTTCCTATATGGTATGTGAGGAGTGATTCATTCCTTAACCTCATTTATACTTCTCAGTTAACCAGGCAAGTGAGAAAGTAAGGTTAACCTACTTTACTGTTTGCAAGGATCTTCTATACTAAATTCAGAGGAGTGCATCAAATAAAGATACAACAGTAATACACAAATTAAAGGCAGGCTGTGCAGCTGAAACAATTTAGGAGTGTTTAGGTTTTACATTAAAGCAACAGCATACAATCTGGCTCTTTAACTCCAAGTATGGAGTTATCGGAATGTTTAAGACTTCAGTAGTTGCTTGCTAACCTTGACTGGATGTTTCCTTTTGCAAAGTCTTTTGTACTTGTTTAAATAACTCTTCACATGGACATTTCATTGCTATATAGTAAGAAGCAATCCTTATTTCTACTTCATCACTGGTAGCTTGATATAGCTGAACTAATACAGCATTCTAAGAGAAAAAGAAAGATAAAAAGATTACAAAAAAAAAGAAAAAGAGGCTTATGGTATTTACTCCCCTAAAATATCTCACGTATGCACTTCAGGGTATAACTGGGTTTCTATTTCTGAAAAAGACAGCCATTGTTATAATTACGCAGCCAAAGTCGCTTCATGCATGTGATGGTGCATGAAGAAATGCACCAACCTGACCTTCACCCGAATCCCTGCTCGGGCGATAGCCCTCAGTGAAACCTGACCTTCCCCCCCTGCCCCGCTCAGGCGATAACCACCAGCAGCAGTCGTGATGGCTACATCTGGCTCAAACTGGAATCTGGGGAGATAGGTAACAGCACAGTAGCTAAGGACTAGTTGAACATGCACCAAACAAGGTATGGCTGGTATGCAAATATGACTGAGACAATCATCTTACCCCATAAATAGGGGGCAGCCCAGAGCCCGTTGAGCTCTCCTGCACGGCAGCGAATCTCTCCTTGAGTAGGGATGCCGCTCAAGGTTATTCCTCCAGGTTGAGAGATTCCTTACCCACGACAGATCCTCAGTAAGTGACTAATAGTATGCTGAAACTTTGCCAACTTTGCTAAGTTACCCCTTTCATTGATTTTACGCATCATCCTTAGACATAAACCGTTGACCAAGTCTGGGACTAAGATTGGATCCAGCTGCGCCTAGACTCCTCTGAGAAGGAGTTTAGAAAGCAAGGGGGTCCGTTCTGAACCTCGTGACTCAACGGGAGGGTTTCCTTGGCACTTTTGTCCGACTCTGCCCTCCACACAGTACATAACTGAGTGAACCCTGCCACCGAATCTTGTTAAGCCACTGTCTTATTTACCTTTGATCTTCGTTAAACCACTATATCTATAAAACATATTGCTGCTCCTCTCTTACGAGTGACGTGCATCACCTCTCATTCACCCATGACAGTGCAACATACATACAAACGTATGCACATATTCTCCATATTACCTAACCACAAATTTTCAGAACAAACTGCCATAACGACCTGGATCCTATATCCACTAATATATACGTATAGGACTGTTTCTGACAAAGAGCCTGGCTTGCTAGCACTACCGTGAATGAGGATTTTATACACAGACAACAACAGCTACATTTATTCCTGGTCTTGATCAAAGGGTAGGACCGTAGCAAATTTATTCTGTTCAATACTTTCCCAGTATCAGCAAGCATGGATTTTTTGGTGAACTGCCTGAAATTAAAGAATCAGTGACTGATACTAATAGCATTTCTATTAGCATTTAACACCCCTCAGTCTACTCACAGGGCATTTCTTTAGTAGCTCATTTATTAGACATAACACTACATATACCTCAGATTTCAACAGCTCTAAAAAGCAACAGGGAGCTTCATAACAGAACATAGAACAAGCAGATTATGCCAATCTATGCTGGAATTAAATTGAAGAAAGCAAGTCATAGAAAATGCTTTTCTAACTGCAAGTCCATGCAAGTACTGTGGAAACTTCTGGCTCTTCTGGAGCAGAACAGCCACTTTTGCCCAGACTAGCACTCTTGGCTTTGCTGTTGTTTTTAATATCATGTTTTTTAAATAATCAAGTTTCGTGTTTTCTTCTATCAAACCATTAACAAATTATCTGAACTATGACAGTGTACTGCCAATCAGAGCAAGCTTCTTATATTAAATACTTAAATACGTAGCATTTCAGATAGGGATACAGGGGAACAGACTACAGGAAAGATCAAGTACTGTGGATTTTCAGCCACAACCCACAAAAAAGAGTCACAAGCTTTGTCTCAGTGGCTGGGTGTCTTACCGCAGCTACAAAGTGTATTATGGTCCTACCAACCTTTCCAACAGCAGAAGAGAGCTGCTGGAAGACACAGTTACACTTAATTCTTATTTGTTTGCATGTTTCATAACTACTCCAGAGAGTCCAAACTCTGGGACAGCAGCAGGAAGCCATCAGGCACTTGCTGGCAACAAATCACTTACCCTGACAGAACAGGGAATGCGCCTGAAGGCCTGTATAGCAGCTAGACGAATTTCAATAGGATTACTTTTCAAGGAAGCACAAAAACTCAGAACAGGAGCTAGTGAAGCTGCTGCCAGTCCCGCGTTTCCAATGGCTTTTAACACTAGCTGCATCTGTAAATACAAAGCAAGGCAGAATCACAAGTTAACCACACCTTGTCAGCTGTACATGAAATTTTACTGTATTCAGACATTCTGCCAAATTCTTTCCAAGTTCTCTACTTAAAATGGATCTACAGCTGATACCTGGTTGAGTCCTTCTGGGTCTCGCACAGTGCAGTTTCCTCCCAGAAATTCACCAAGAGTCCTCATGACACTCTGCACAGCAGGCACATCATCACAGGATTTGTGAGCTGAACAAAACCTGTGTACAAGAGCAGTCACTCCCAAGAAGGAGCTCTTGCTTGCTCCCGGTGACTGCAGCAAAGGCTGGAAAGAAATACACACACACCAAAAAAAAAAAAAACCAGGCTGTTTTCAGAAAAGTCATCCTCACAATTACTCTAATATACTTAATAGAAAATAAACGTATCAAAAGACTTGCTCACTAAAACTCAATCTCAGCAATGCAAATTTTCAAACAGCCCTTGGAGGATTTCAGAAACACAGAGGACAACCCTGAGGAGAAATGATAGAAAATTCTTCCACTTTCACATAAAGGCTAAAAAAGTGTCAGCATGAAACAGACCTCAGGTCTTTTCACAAGAAATCATGCCCTGCATGATTAAGGAGTGTGAAAATTAATCTAAACTATTTTCCAGAATGCTCAGAAGGAGAGTGCTTTAAAGTAAGGAACCTCAATGTGACATGCAAGCAGTTTAGAAGAGAATGCAAAAGTTAGCATATACATTCCTCATAAACATACACAGAGGCACAGCTGTGTCATAAGCTATGCTTTCATGAAGAGTCACATGAGTATTATTCATAAATAATTCTTGATGTACTACTTTTAAAGAACTAGCAGATAATTAAATTATTTGTGATTGTTAACTATCTATCCCAACAGTACAGTATTCGAAACTGTCGAAAACATCTACCAACATGCTTACACACGTATGTAGAACATGCTCTTGAAACTGGTAGCATACTTACAGCATCCATAAATAATAGATTTGCCTTTTAGAAAGTGTTATTTATGGATCTTTAATATACCTTACAATGAACATATCTTTTCCAAGGTCCAGTCTCATAATCAATAATTAACCCTACTGTATTTCAAGAGGAATGCTCAGGTACTATGCCCTACTGCAGAGAATTTGTGACATTCATGCCTGTTGTACATATAGCTTGGGCTTCTTATCCTTGGAACTGGCCAGAAATTCTGTTTCTACTTGGCTGAAAACATTAATATTTCAAACATCATTTCCATCCCAAATCAGATCAAATTAGGGAAAAATCTCATACTCTCCTAAAATTTTGATGAGGGAGGCATGGAGGAAAAAGGAAAGCATACATTCATTGTAGAACTGGACATGTCATTTAATACATATTTTTATGGTGTTTTATATTTTACATTAGTTCACATGTTATCTGTAGCAGTACAAGGTGAGTTGTTAACACACACATCTTATCCCAGAATCAGATACACTGACTGTCCTCAAACAGTTTGGGATATGATGACAATAAATAAGTTCCATCTGGCAAAACCTTCCTTCACTCAACGGCAACTAAACTCACACTGGCCTGCCCTTGAACCTCAAAACTAACCAACACAGACCAGTTTCTGGAGTCCAGGAGGTAGTCAAACACTTTTTTCCTTTTTAATCTCTAGGTTGAAAATGTAAGTCAAGCTCCAGTGAGCAAACACCAAAGCATCCTCTTCTGGAATCGAGATTAAATTAGCCAGTATTTTCACCTCCACGTTGTTCAAGCTACCTGTACAGGTGGAGCTTTGTATAAATCTGCAAGACTAGTACATAAAATACAAAAATTACGACCTAGCTAGATTTGACAATAAATTAAAAACCGGTCTGCTCACAGCAAGAGATTCGATCATGCCAGAGGTGGGCTTAGGCATGAATGAAAACGACCAAAGGAAAGACTCCACTTTGTCTTCCTCAGCTTCTCCAGAGGCTATAATTTCTTTCATTAGGAGAACACATGCTTCCGTAGCACACGAGGGGAGAGCATCTATTAGGGGCTGCCTGTAACACAAGAAAAAAGTACACCAAATCTAAAATGACCAGTATATCCAAGAATCAAAGAGCAAACACATCAAGGGTGGGCTTCTTTCAAACTAAATAAAAGCCCACCAGCCCAACAAACAATACATATTTCAAGCCTTAAGAGCCCCTCTGTAAACTTTCTGCCCCTTCCACCTATACTGGTGGATGGACATATTTATGTTAATTAGGAAGAAATTAAGCTAAACAGAGTAAAAACTCTTGAATAAGAGACTTTACTCTTGCCCCAAGTTAAATTAGTCTAAAGTTAAAATGGAAAGAGGCAGAGTAGTTTAGATTATTCTCTAATATTTAAGGAAATTCACATGACTATTTGTTAACAGGTGAGCACAAACTTGAGCGAAAACAAAATTTGCCATTTTTGTGCTAGGTAAAGTTTAAAACGTTGTTACAAACACAAAGCTTGGCATTAGATAAATTTCAAATAAGCTGATGACGTTTCATACTGATATCAAATAAAAAGCTTGTTTCTTTGTTTATGCTTTTCAGGATACCTATTTTGGAGAGAGAAAAAAATCCTACTGTATTTAATAATACTGTATTGGCATTTCTGAAAGATTCAAACCCTTGAATCAGAACTATTCCCACCTGCAGAGAAGTAGGATCCTTGATCTTAAAAACTGCAGCTCCATGATCAGTATAAAGCAGCCTAAGGTAAGCCTGCTACTGAAAGACATGGTTCCACCATCTCCATGCTCCCAGTCAAGTATTTGTCTCTTCTCCCCCATCAGCACTTTGAGTATGCTATCATAAACAAATCAGAACGACGTCCCTTTTTTTCCTTTCTTTTGGCAGGTTTAGATTTCAGTCAAGTCAGTGAGCCGACCCAGTTCATCCCACCGGCAGACAAACTCTTGACTTACAAGAGACAGGGCAAAAAAAGGGTGGGAGGAGCACCTCTTAACGCTATCAACGCTCTTACGCTGGTAGGATCAATTCTCCTCCAGTTTTGCTCTCAGAATCATGTCCCACAAGCACCATCGCGAATACAAAAGTGCAGAAGGCAGAAGAGGGAACCATTAGTAGCAGTACAAAACTAGCAGTGGGAACAATGAGCAAGGGCCTGGCAGGGAACAGGGGCAGAGGGGGAGGGACAGTCAACAGCACCATCTTCTTCAGTAGCTGCTAGCTTTCAGATCAGCTTAGTTGCATCACCAGAGCACAATCCAATGGGTAAAGGTGCAGCCTTACTACTAAAAGCACCAATTCAGGTAGGCTTTTTCATAACAAATTGCAGTAGAGTCTTCAAACCAGTAACCTAGATTCACATCTAAGCCATGACTCAAATTTCCTGTTAACATTGCTTCTGAAACATGAAATCTGTCTGTGGGAATAGGCATGGGACAGGAAAGTCAATTTTGCATACAATGTTAATTCGGTAAGGGAAGAATATCATCCTTCTATCACATAAGCAAGATGTGCAAGACACCGTCTCACTTTAAAAGTGCTCCAACCTTAAATCCATCTTAAAATACAGTAACACCAGAACAGCACTTACATAAATTTTTCCCAAGCCCAAATGTTTATTTAAAATATTAATCTATTTAAAGTATTTACAAAACATTTATTTCCAATAATTAAAAAAAAAAATACTGCTGCCAAAGGGCCTTACCAGTTATCTCTGCATTTAAGTGAAGATCTTTGCCATAGCACTTTTAAGGCCTTAAGAGAAAGATGTCGAAGCTCAAACACAAGAGTCATGAAAAGGTCTGCAGTCTGTAACAGAGTACAACAACATAGGTACTATTACAACTGCGCAGAAAAGCAGCTTTAGAGAATAGAGCACAATAAGGGACTTTGGGTTACACCAGCTTTGCCACTGATTTGCAATATAACCTGAAAGTAAAACCTCCTCTCTTCCCCGTACCATCTTCTTTGCATCCTTTTCTTTTCTCTGCAGGCAACAAAAAAACAAGGACAAGGACTTTCACTGAGGCTGCTGGTCATGCAGCAATGTGCAGTGACCCCTAGGCACGCCACTCTGATACAACGAATAATAACTGCGGTTACAGTCTGGAAGAGAGGGCTCTCATCTCTTCCGAATTTGTACAGCAAGATCCTGATCCATTACCAGAACTGCTCACATAAGTTAGCACAAAAAGAACAAAAATCAAGTATAACTTCACATTCTTCTTAAGTTTACAAGATCATTTAACTGGGGCATGCCCAACATCAAAGGTTTTGCCTGCACAGCTGTGGCACTGTGTGAAAATATCCCATCCCAGTGGGAAAAAGCCCAAGTATACCTCCTCTAATCTCTGCAGTGAAGTCCTTCAGCTAGCATAGGATTAGTAAAAGCTATGGTGGCAAAAGATCTGTTTTACGTGGCAAAGCTGCATCACCACTACATCCAGCTGCTATTTTCCCAGCCGTGCATTATCCCACACGCTTTTCAGCGTATAAAGAAGTGCTTATTCACAAGCTGCCCTTTGCTCTGGCCAAGCGAAACAGATAAGATTGAAGAACTATTTGGGGTTACTTTATTTAGAAAAAAGCACCTTAAATATTCCACCTAAGCAGAATAATTCTGTTTTAATAACTTATTTGCATGTGCACGGTTGAAAGAAGTTAGGATAATTTGGAGCTAACTCACATTTTTCCACTAAGTAAGTGAAGTAGCTACCTTTACTAGACTTTACAGCAAAGAAGAAGAAAAGAAAACCCTTAACTTAAATTTATCAGTTTTCTATCCATTTAAACTAATATTTTTCAAAAACTTCTGACCCGAGGTACTTTTAGATGTATATTGTATTATCAACAATAATTTTTATTCTCTGAAACCTGACACCAGAAATAAAATTAATAAAATATTTTGCATTTTGCCAGGGCTTTTTAGTAATTTTGCTAAAATCTTTTGTTTAATGTAGCCTTTTTTTGCTCATAGTCCATATTAAGGAAAGGCACATACCAGATCACTGAATGTATTACCAAGGACAGAAGCCTTTCTATTTTTATGAAGCACAAGCCTGTAAATTTATTCCTGAATCAAACTAGGCCCTGTATTACATCTGTTCTCTGCTGAAAAGTCTTATCTCCTTTTCTCAGATTATTTTCATTTAATAGAAGCTTTTGGTAGGAATAGTATTTTAAAGGCTAAATATCATATAAATATGTTCTTCTCTGACTTGATCCATAGTTCCAGAGGTTAAGAGAGATAGGTACTATTACTTGAAAAATTAGCAGAATGTGAAATACAGTAGCATGTATGTACATTTATAATGTATAAGCTTTAATCATGTTCTACTTCATACAGCTTCATTCCAATTAATTATTTACTTCGGATGTGAAAGGCTTAGAAGTAAGATTACTACTCTAATCCTAAAGAAGACATTTTTCATCACATAAAAAACATACAAAGCCTAATTCCACTAGGTTAGAGTGCCAAAGCCTGGGGACAGACCTAATTTAGTTTCCTGACCTTCCTTCCCGGAGCTGCTTCCAAAAGCAACAAAAAGTTGGAATAATCTAGTGCCAGCATTTGATTTTCATTCATGCCAGGATGTTTTCGCTAAAAAGAAGCTGTCTTTCAGCAAGAAGATGGCGTAATTTCTTACTAAGTTCAGTTTGCTAGGCCAAGGGAATCATTTTTCAGATCCAACAAAGAAAAGCATATGCAATGTTTCTTTCCGGACCTTTTTTTTTTTTTTTTTTAGCAATAGTATACTAATTTCATCAAAATGAAGTTTACTCTTGCACATGAAGCTCTAGTACCTAGGGTTTAACTTGGATAACACTTACCATTTCATAGCTAAATTTCATCTTGATACACATGTATTCCAGCATTAGCTTTACGGTCTAAAAATAAAATCCAAACCATGAACATCACAGAGCTAAGGAAGCAGATTACGTTTCATGGTCTGTAAAATATTCAGAGAATTGTATTTAATGAAGTTGTCCTAAAGCATTTGTAAAACTCAGGCCTCACGTGCGTTTCTGCACGTGCGAACGCACAGTGGCCCTGCGCACGAGCGCGGTGTCTCTGCGAGCAGCTGCTGCACCCGCCTGAAGTGGCTCCTCAGCTGCAGGCCGCAGCACAGTTCTTGGTATCATTTCCAGATTGATATATTTCCAGGTGATATAATTTCAGCCTGTAGACTTAACATCACTGTGCTTCACAACTGCTCACTAGACAAACTCTTGTATAATAACTCAGTATAAAATTTAGCAGGGAAACAGCTACTTTTGCTTCACAATAATAATAAAACTTGCACATGAACTGCCTGGGGTAGTGGGCTGTTTTTACTTTTAAGGTAGATTCCACTGAAATCAGGCTGTCAGTTAAACAATAACCTCATTGCAAACTCCTTTATTTGTGTTTTCATAGCGACAAACTATATGCAGACTTGGCTCCCATTCTCAACTCTGAATAAAACAAGGAAGCTTGTCTTTTATTCTAGATAGAAACTTGTTCTTCCTTTTATTTGTAGATTTATTGTAATTCTATTAAAACAAAAATCCTCTGAAAGCATAAACATGGTATACTTTAAAGTGGAAGGTAAAGTAGTAAAATGTTTCCCAATAAAAGCTTTTCTAAGCACTTACTCTCTCAAAGCTTGAGACCTTATATGCTGCCAAGGAGAAGCGTAGGTAATCACAAGGGAGCTGGCTTTGAAACTGTGCTCAACGCATGCATTTATGCTTGATTACTGATGTACGTTCTCAAAGAACGTGAGGCCTCCTCTCCAAAAAATTTAATATAACTTTTTAATTTACAAAATTCTCCTCCATGCTAACTGTAGTTTTCAGAGATCTGATTTCTTTTTTCAGCTGTACACATGTTCAAGAACTATTAATTTCCCTGAACTGAAGACCAAGTCTGAAATCATATGGAAGCAATACATTCCTCTCCTTGAAGCCTACTGCTTGACCAACTATGGTTATTCTGTCCCTCCCATGATATTACTTTCCTACCTTCTGTTCCTCCACAGTTCTTTCTTATTTTGGTTTCTCACCTTTCCAGTTAACCTTATTTCAATCTTGATTTCAGATACTGAGTTAAGAGGAGCTGTGTAAACAAGTGAGGAGAAAAAGCACGCCAGGAAAAAGGGCTACGTAGCACACAAGAAGAAAGAAAAAGGCAAAGGCTAGCACTGCATGTACAAATCTTCAAGTCACAAAATTAGAATAATAATTCCACTCTTACATAGCAGAAAACTACAAACTATTTTTCCTGGGGTGGCTTTCAGCAGGCTCCGTTCACCACCCGATGGTGTGAGCACCAGCATATTAGAAGATGGCAGGACCCTGTGGCTGGGGTCAGGAAGGACAGGACTTCAAGAGCCCTGATTTAGACCGGTTTGTGTTGCTGTTGCTTGCCAGATGAGAGCATGTTTGGATTGCTGCAAGCATTTTTAGAATGTCACGTTTCCAGAAGGTATTTACAAGAAAGCTCAGAGAAAAGCAGCAATATAACATAGGGGAGTAGGCAGAGTTGGCTACTTGCAACAAAAGATTATTTTAAAGTGATTTTTCTAAGTGATACACGTTATGTTACGTGATTAAAGGCTCATCTTCAGCAACAAAAAGGAGCACAGAGGAACAATGACAGGCAGAGGAACCTCAATAACCTAATCAGAGAAAAGAGAGCAGCCTGACCTGGGTCTTCCAAGGTTATTACTGGTGAGCAACCAACCCACTGTGCAGGTGTGAAACTCATCAAGTTAAGTCAACAGGAGAGGTGCTTTGGATCACCTTACAGACTGAGGGGGGGTTACTGCAGACAGCGGTACCAGACTCATTATGGGACAAAGGGGAAGAGCATTTGGGGATTGCACAAGACTTACTGCAGGATATTTAGGAGAAGAACCAGTTACTGGAGGGATCCATGTTTTGTGGGTGGGTGGGTGGGTGGGGGGGTGCACGTGTGCATGTGCGCACGCGCGTGTGCAGGTAGGTCTGAGTATCAGCAAAGGGAGTGGGCTGTGGGCCTCAGGAGGTCACTTGTTCAGGTGCCAGATGGGGAGACCTGGCATTTGGGAGCCAGCTACTAGCTAGACTGAGCGTCTAAGGCCAGCTACTGAAGGGATCCATACTGTACATGTGTGTATTTATATTTTCCACTAATGGACTTCCATCCTGATGAGTCAACGAGGGGAAGAGGATGAAGCCACTGCTGCTGCTTGTGCTTGCCTAAGTGCTGTGTTTTGTCTGTGTGGATCTGTGTGGCCAACAGTATGTGCATGTGTATTGTGCGTGTGCTTGCCTACTGGGAATACACGCTCTGCCTCACTACTGGCTGGATCTAGGAAAATGAAGTTGAGCAGAGCAGCCTCACCTCCATCAGGCTACCAGATTTGACAACCCCTAACAACAGGTAAGGAAATACATGTTGATAGTCTACAAATGCAGGAATCACAAACTAAAAGGGGCAGAGGTTATCTGGGCTAGTACCGAAGTACTATAACAGTGGATGACAATGTGGGAGGTCACATTTCAGCTTTCCATCATCTTTCTTGACAATGAACTGCAGCAGCAGCTCTGCTGCATGGAGTATTCAAAGCACAGCAGCTGCACAGTAAGATTAAATTGTGTTGGTCATGGATCAAACGAAGTGGCCTAACAGGCCATTCCCAATATTTGACTCTCTAGTTCACAGCAGGCAAAGATTTCTGCTCCTGGCAAAGTCTTTATCACAGTCATACAGAAAAAGAATAGTCTAATTTCAAAAAGCACAATCACTGATATAACTACAGTATCTTCATTCACCTTGAAAATCAGAACACCCTCCTTAGCTGGGAAAAATGCTGTTATGCTCCCCACAGCTGCAAGTTAGAAACATCCAAATCGTAACACCCCACATGGCAGTAACTAGCAACCCCATGGAATGCCTTATCCAAAAAACACACGGTGAGAACAGACTATGCCCTAAAGGTCAGCTCTTTTGGGTCAGACCGAAGTACAGGAGCTGCGCAGGGTGAGCCTGACATACCCTTGCCCACACCGCACCTGCTAAATGAATCACAGACACAGTCACCAGAGCTATCAGATAGTCCAGCACCAAAATCCAGCCAGCCACATGTAAATGCAAACCCCAGCAGAAGCTGTGTGACAACCTTCCTTCAAACCTCCCTCCAGCGAGGGCCACCCCTCCCCATCACTGTGACTGCTCTTTGTCAGTATGCAGTTTGTTCACTTAATGGTCCATTAGCTAATCTGCATCCACATTGAAATTCAATCCTGTCTCATAACTGCATTAGAAAATTAAACAACTTTGCTTCCTTGGGAATGACACAGTCACCAGCCCCCTTTTCTTCACTGTTCACTGTTTTCACTGGAGTTGGGGATTTTCCCTTCCATTTATTCTTATTTTTGTGTCCTGTATAAAATGCATAATCTTGCCTCATTCGGAGCCAGACAATAAGGGGACAAACAAGCTATACATGCCTAACAGCGGAGCTGTCTCCCAGACAACACTGTGGGCATTCCCATAACTCCTGCCCAAAGGACATACTATTGGTTGGAATGAGGGATAATACAGATCCTCTTTGAAATGTCTTGTCCCACAGAAGGAACTCCCTGGAGCAGTGAAAACAGCTAACCACCAGCTGAATCTTGTGCTGGGACAGGCATATGATGAATAATGCACCTCTCCTTTAGGCAGTGGCACAGACAGCAGCCCCTTGCGTTAACCCTAGCCATTTACAAAACAAATTTCCCACACAAGAAGCCAGTGGGCCTCTTCGGAGACAGAAGTGCTGCTGGAGGTGGGTGGAAATCAACTACCAGTCCTTCAAAGACGCTGAATTCTGAGCGCTCAAAATGTGGCAGGATTTAGAGAAAGTTTCTCAGGTCAACCGCAATTTTTTTTTTTTGCTACCCTTTCCAAATAGCATTTGTACCCACAAATAGCATTTAGACTTACAGTCTTTTTCTAAATGTCATTACATACTGCTGTTACAATGACAGCCACCTAGAATTATGCATTACAGTATCCAAAGAGGCTACTTTTATTCTTCATTAGCAAGAGTTACTTTTATGGTTCTGTTACCTCTCTGTAGCCACAGTCCCCCCCAGTATGCAGCTGAAAACATGGCAGACTTGCTTACGACTCAGAGAAACCTATCCCACCGAACATGACCCAGAAAGGCCTCCAGCCACCTTCTCTTCCTGTAGGTCTTTGTTAGGCTGTGCTACAAGGTCAGGCTGTGATCACCATTTAATAGGCTGGGAGTACTCCTAGCGCTGTAACTTACCACAGCTGACCTTGAGTTGCCTGTTTTGGTTGCTGCAGTTGTGATCGTTCTCTCTACACTATGCCTTTTCCTTAAGTCTCACACCACATTATACAAACATCTACTTCTGCTCATTAATCACAGCTAAAGCTAAGAGAGAGGTATCATGTTTACATACAGTACATTCATATTTAAACAGGCACCAATGGCCTGCACAGCGGCAGCTCACCACCAAACAGGAACCCTCTCTTCCGTCTCCCGCTATCTATGTCCCTCCTCCCCCAGGGAAGAGGCAGACTGAGCCTTTGCTCTTTGACACGAGACTTAAGTTATACAAAGAAGATGAAATGCCTTCTCCTAACCTAAGTTCAAGCTTTTTGTTAAAGTACATGCATCTGCCTGCATCTACAGAAGAAATTACAGCTGCATTGCCCAAGAAATAACCTTGCTCCAAAGTACTAACAATCTAACAGGCCAAGAACATCAGGGCAGAGAAAGTATCAGGGATGAGCTGACTAAGGTCATCCGTGGCAAATTCATGGAGCTGGCACCAAGTTCCAGCTCAATGCTTTCCCCGTTATATCATACTTGCTCTCTAGCAATAAGCTGACCGTGAAGGACATTCAAACAGGAAGTGTGTTCTTCTATTTTCAAATTCACATTTGTTTCAGATTAGTCCGTACGGGAACTTCATTACCAGCAAGAACCGTTCCAGTGAAGGATAATGGGATATGAAGAGCCCTCTCTTTTAGGTCACTGCTCCCATTTCATCTCAGGCCAGCAATGATTAAGCACCATCATCTGCTGACCCTTCTGTATTGTACATAACAGGTGTTCTTCATAATCTCTGAATTTCGCAGAAGATGGGGATATTCATTTCAAAGACAACGACAAATACTAACTGACCAATTACTGCCAGTATCCATAAAAAAGCCAAGACCTGAGTGAACAATGCAGACAGGTAGACCCTTTTATTTATTTAATTTATAATGACAGCCATTTCAGGAAAAAATTAAGGCACTGCATGTCTCATGTGACCAGAATACTCCACTCGATCTTCACAGCATTCACCAGTGAAAATGCTTTAGGTAAAGAGAACGGAGTCCCTCTGGCTCCTGGCAGCAACCCCGGAAAGCATCATGGTTATTACTAGAAGTCACCAGACACACTGAGCCATTCAAGACGCAGCAGCAAGGGGCTCGTGGGCAAGCTGTTCTGAGAGGATGAGGCAACTGGAGAAGAACCGCAGAACTTGGACAAAGGTGGGAACAATAGCCACAGCCTTCCCAGCATCTAGCACCAGCGGCTTCCCTGGTTGCCCACCGGGCAAACTGTCCTTGCCGCTCCAGGGACATCATGACAGTACCCTGCGAGATCTACACTGTAAACTACCAGAGACAGTGAGCATC